CAGCTCCCTTCAACCTTAGCATAATTAACTAAATTTTAGAGAGAATAACGAAATTAATGTGTTTTTTATAGAAGAATTGTTTAAATGAGAAACTAAGAGAAAAACCCCGAAGAGAAGACACACTCCATTTTTATATATCACCAAGCTCACCAACCTTTGCCCTATAACTGATCACCTCACACCTATACTCACACACTCAAAAACCACAAAACTTATATAGCGCAATTTAATGAGAACACAAAAATTAATTATAAAAGGAAAATTAAAAAAAGAAATTACCAAAGAAGAACAGTTAATAAATTTATACAAATTTAAACACTTCCCCTACTTTCTCCCAAAAAAAAATGCGGAATAAGAGAGAAAAACCAAACAAATCCCCCTAGAGAAACAAAAATTATTATGTACGTATTTGTAGGATGTAAAACCAAAAGAAAACAAAAACCAAACAACAACAAAATGATCATATTGTTGATCATTAATATTTGACTGTGTTAATTTTCATTGTATTAAATAAAAAAAAACTAAACCAAAAAAAACATATAATATAATTTAATAATAAAAAAAGACAAAAAACCATAATGAAATTATTATTAAATAATAATATAAAAAAAACCAACAAGCATTCTAAAATCAACAAATGAAAAAAAAACAAAACATTACCAAATAATAATAATAATTACAACAATTCTAGTAAAGACATATGTCACCAAAGCAAAAAAAATAAAAACAAAAATTAAAAACTAATTATAAACAAATGCAAAAAAAAAAACAAATGTTACACACAGACACAAGTAAAATAAATAAAAAAATTATTATTAAGTTATTTACCAAAAACTGAACAAAATAATTAAAAAAAAAAAAAAACTGAACAACAACTAACAAAACAGTACGAAAGACAAGAAATAAATTTAAAACAAACCAAACAGAAAAAAAAGAATAATTTAAAAAAAAAATTATTACAAAAAATTGATTACCAAGTCAAAGTGAAATGAATAAAAAATGCAAAATTGTATAAAAATTATAAAAAAAATATGTTTTGGATTTTTATTGTTGCTTAAATAAGGGGTAAGTAAACACTAGTCTTGATCAACATCTGAATGAGAAAATATGACAGGGATGAGGTAAAGATTTCAAGCTATAAACTATTTATAAAAATATAAAATTCCAAGTTTAAGTTCGGTCGGACCGAGCTTTTAATATTGAAAGAAACTTGAAATTTTTCAAAAATAAAATCCGTCGAAAAATAGCGCTGAACTGAAAACCGCTATATGGGGGCTATACGAAGACGCGGATCTGCGTACGTAACTTTTTGTCATAGGCAATAGTACCGAATCCAAACTGCAAATACGAAATTTAAAACAATTCCGGCGAATAATGTCGCTAGAATCATTAAAATACCGAATATCGAGAGTTATCGTTACATGAGAGCTATACGAAAACGTGGACCGACATAGTCCATTAACATAACCAAACATAACCTACCAAAATACACATGTGTGCAAAATTTTAGCCTTCTATCTCAATTCGTCCCTATTATCTCAATTCGACTTTAATGATCTAGAATTTGCAGTTAAAATAAAGGCCTTTTCCCTTCCTTTTTACACCCTCCTGTAAAGGTCAAATTTATTATCCGATTGCGACGAAATTTTCCACGAACCATTAGTTTGGTCCAAGGAAACCCCATTGAAATTGGTGACGGTCGGTTCAAATTTAGATATGACTGCCATATACAGGGTAAGATGAAAAAACTGCAATCAACTTCAAACTGCTATCATTTCCCAGCCACTCATCCGACAGCTGTTAAAATTATTCCAGTGTTGTTTACAAGCGTACAAAAGCATTTTGGTGAGAATTTTCCAAAAACAAAGTTATTCAAGCGTGATGGTGTGATTTCTTTATATTTGGCTGGAAAACCACAAGAGGCTATCGTTCGAGCACTCCAGCATTTTAATGTGAATAAATTTTTGGTGTTCCGTACCATCGCTCGTTACCATGATACTGGTAGCGTAGCCCGACGTCAAGGAAGTGGACGTAAGAAAACAGCAAACATCAGCAGAAATGGTTCGAAAATTAAAGAAACCCGTGTCGCAGTGGCTGAAAAATGGGTAAGGAGCTGAACATATCGCAATATTCCATTCGGAAAATATTGAAAAATGAGCTCGTGGTAAAGCCATTGAAACTGAAAGAGCTAAAGAGTTACTTCGCTTGACCGAAAGTGGTAAACTGCCGAATTTGGTTTTCTCCATCTCCGATGAGAAAACATTCGTTGTCCAGCTGTTTGTAAACTAACAAAATGATCGTGTTAACTTGCAAAAGAAGTCAGCTGAAAATGTGCACCTTTGGTTGGCCACAAGAACTCAAACGCCGGCCATGGTGATGGCGTGGGCCGCCATAACAGCCGATGGTCGCTCTCCGCTCGTATTAATCGACCGTGGTATCAGAATAAATGACGAATATTATAGCGAAAATATTCTGGATGGTGTTTTAAAGCTTTGGGCACGCAAATATTTTGGCAGACCTTGGAAATTCCAACAGGACTCAGAATGTTTATACCCAAGAATGTTTGCAAAATGTGGTTCCTCGCTTCATTTCCAGCGCACAATGGCCACCAAAATCTCCGGATGCCAATCCGTTGGACTATTGTGTCAGGAGTATTTTGGAGAGCAAGGTTGGCACTAAAAACTACCAAAGTGTCGATCGCCTCAAGCAAGCGCTTCGCCGGAAATGGGCCAAAATTCCACAGATCAACATTCGGGCAGCGTGTGACGTTTCATTGGCCGTTTGAAGGCCATAATTCGTGCCAAAGGTGACCAATTCGAACAAATCTAAACTTATTCTAAAATTTGATTCTATTTCCGAAATTGTTGGCTTTCATTCAAAAAAAGTAAAAATTACGGTTTCAAGTCCTTATACTCAGAAATTAGTGCCAACAATTTTGCCGAGATCGATTCATATTTTGGATATAGCTCCCATATAAATCATTATCCGGTTTCAGGTTTTTTGTGCACCAAATGGCTAATATCAGCCCAAATGGACTGAATTTTGGCACTTCCGACGGATTTCAGCCTAAAAGCAATAGCTTTTTCCGATTTGGGGTTTTAAATCCTTCACACGCGTAACATACACTCCACAACAATACTGGGAATCATATACTGCTCGAAAATACCTCTGTCAAGTTTTATCGAGATTGGTTCAGATTTTTATGTAGCTTCGATATACATCTTCATCCGATTTTACGGTTATTGCTCACCATATATGTATTTATTTTTAGCGACATTATTATTTTTAGCGACATTATTCACCGAAATTGTTTCAAATTTTAAATTTGAAGTTCCAATAAATTGCCCATGTAGGTTCAGGGCTTCGTATAGCCCCCATATATCGGTACCTCCCTATATTCGGTATTTTGATGATTTTAGCAACATTATTCAAAGGAATTGTTTCGAATTAGCTATTTGAAGTTCGTAATGGATACTACAGCCTAAGACAGAAAATTGTCTGTGCAGGACCACTTATTCGTATAGCCCCGTATAATGGTATCTCCTTATATTCGGTAGTTTGATGATTTTAGCGAAATTATTCATCAGAATTGTTTCAAATTTGGTGCTACAGCCTATGACAGAAGATTGTCTGTGCAGGTCCACGTCTTTGTATAGCCCCCATATAACAGTACCTCTGCATTTTGATGATTTTAGCGTCATTATTGACCGGAATTGTTTCAAATTTGGTATTTGAAGTTCGTAATGGATACTACAGCCTATGACAGAAAATTCTCTCTGCAGGTCCACGTTTTGGTATAAACTATGCCTACATTATTCTCCGATTTTTTTTTAAGTTTCACATTTGTATATTTTAATGGCTTATGACAAAAGTTGCCTATGCAGGTCCACGTCGTGGTATAGAAATTAGTATAACGGCTACATTCGGTATTTTTAAGATTTTAACAGAATTTTTAATGGATTTTTTTTTTTTTTTTTGAAAATTGCCAAATTCGTTCCGAATGATGAAGGGTATTCAAAGTTCGGCCCGGCCGAACTTATGGCTTTTTTACTTGTTCTATATAAACTATGAAAGACCTGCTTATAAAAGGCTACAAGAAAGTCAACATGAATCGTCAGAAAGACCTTCTATCTTTGTAAAATTATCAGAATGGCCATAGAGGGCCAAAAAAGGTCCTCAATCTAACGTATTTTATTTATATGTTATTTTTTATCCAATTGGCAAATTTATAATTTTTTGTTTCAAATTTCAAATTAATTAATAATCCGAATTGAAAAATAATCACCAGCTAAATAATTTGAAGTTCAAATTGATATTCAATAATTTTAGGTTTTTTTACCTTCGATGTTTTTTTTGAAAAATATAAACTCCTATGTTGTTTTAGTGATAGTTGTTATAAACAATTTATTTATTTGTTTTTTTATATAAACAATTGACAGCTAGTGTAAATTATTTAAATTTATTTATTTTTATTTCAGTTTAGATTAATAGTTTGCTATGGCTTATATATGAATGGGTGAAAGACCGAACATAGGATAAATGAGGACCAGTAATAATAATAGACATGTTAGAGCAGTAATAATAAACATAATAAAAATAATTATAATAATAGGTTTATAGGTATGAACATTAACGAGATTTATTTGTTTAGTTTTCTGGTTTTCTGTTTTTTTTTTTTAATTCTATATATTGCAATTTATTTAGTATTTTTTGGGTTTTTTTTTTCATAAGCAGCACATCTAGTGATGAAGTACATTCGTTTTGAGTGTTGAGTTTTGGTTTTTTTATTTCTTTTTCCTTTATATTTTAATTATAATTTTCCTATAATTTTATATATATTTGTTGGTTTTTTTGTATTGTTTTTTTCTTTTGCATTGAAGATTCGTTTACTTTTTAGTTGTTTACTGTTATTTACATTAAATATAGTAATAATAATTTTTAATAATAATAATAATAAATTTGAATAATACTTGTTATGTTGTTGTTGTGGTTTTTGTCTCTTTGTTTTTTGTTTTTGCTTTGTGAATTCCCTAATAAAGTATTTTGTTTGTATTTGAGATAATTCATTTATTTGTTATTCCTTGTATAAATATATTGGTATATGGAGTACGAAAAATGTTATTGAGAGGGGGTTGTATGGGGTGAGTAAATGGGTAATTTTTAGAAATTTTTCTCTGACTAAAAATAAAATGCATAAATAGGATCTTTGGAGAGGAACATATAATTCCCAGATTTTAAGTTTTTTTTAACATTCTGTAACTCTACAAAAAGTAGAAGTCTTAGAGTTTTTCTCTCAAAGTCTTAGTTTAGACAAAACTATAATTCCTTTTCGAAGTTGTCCCTTTCGAATATTCTTTTCAATTCTAAGACTAAAATAACTTCAGAGATAAGATAAAATTCTCCGAGACTTTAATTTCCGTGAGATATTATTCCTGCAATCAAATAGCTCCTCAATACACTAAAGACCTTGAATATATCTCCAACTCTTCAGAAGACCTCACAATGAAATTTTATAAATATAAAATATTTTGGAGAAGCTGACAATCTGTAGGATTTTCTACTTAAACGTAACCCCAAAGACGTCTTCTTTCACATTTTTTTGACATTTTTTAACATTCGGTAACTCTACAACAAATAGAAGTCTTAGAGTTTTTTTCAAGGTCCATGAGACTTTTCTTAACCAAAACTATAACCTCTTTTCGAAATTTCCCCTTTCTAATATTCTTTTCAATTCTAAGACTAAAATAACTTCAGAGATAAAATAAAATCATCCGAAACTTTAATTTCCGGAATATATTATTCCTGAAATCAAAGAGCTCCTCAATGCACGGAAGACCTTGAAAATATCTCCAACTCTTCAGAAGACCTCACAATGAACATTTTTAAATAGAAAATACTTCGTAGAAGCTGGCAATCTATGGGAGGGATTTTCTACCTAAACGTAACCCCAGAGAATACTTCTTTTACATTTTTGAAATTTTCGGATTAATATTCCTTGGAATCTTTGAATTTCTACATACCTAGTGTCTTCGGTAATATTGCTGACAACAATACCAGGATTATTTCGGTGAAAAATCTTAATCCACTGGCAAGGCACCAAAGTGGTATTTTTGGTATTTTGGTCATCACTGAAAAGAAAATATTTGCATCAAATTTACCTAAGAAAAGTTCCCCAGGACCTTTTTCGGGTTAAGGTAACATGAAATGTCATTTTAGCCAGAAATGGTCAAAAGAAGAAATTTCTACACAAAATCGTCTAAATTAATAATTTTCTATTCTTTGGCATAAAAATAAGCCTGATTTCAGTTATTTCGGAAGTCTTGGACATATTTTTCAATCGATTTGGTTGAGAACTGAAAACTTTTCGACAGAAAATTTGAGGTGTTAAGAAAAAAATCAGGAAGACCTTCAATTAAGCTTAATCCTTGGAAAGACCTCTAAAAGACTCTATATATATACCTCCATCTATTAAAGTCTTAAAAGAAATCTTCGTTTCATATAAGACATGGAAATATCTTTTAATTAAGAAGACTTAGGAGGTGACTTCCATCAATAGAGGGACTTGGGAAACCTCCGACTCTCCTCCCTCAAATAAACTCTCTCCGTGGAGAAGCTCTCTCCGAAAGGCCTCTGAAAAGGGACTTAGATAACCACATTTCTATAAATGGCCTCAGATATTTTAACCCATTAAAAGTTTCAGAAAGTTCTTCCATTTGTAGACCCTCTAACCTCTACAAAGCCTTCTTACTAAGGAACAGATAAGTAGAATTTCTCTCTAAAACTCACCTTCGATAGCCCGATAATGTTAGAACGCCTCAAATAGTTCTGCCAAAAGCCTCATATGGCCCCATCTGTCTGGCTCCCACAGGGAGCCTTCTAAAGGATTCTTTTTATAGAAGGCCCACAAAAAAGGTGTTCCAAAGCCATAAAAAGGTATTTTATGTATAAAAGATTTCTGAAAGGCTTCCTATGGGGCCTCAGGTAGATACCTTTTCTATGCGAGGCCTCGGAAAGGTCTCTTATCTATAAAAGGTTATAGAATGCTCATTCATGTATAGGGGGTCCTTAGGAACATCTTGTGGCTACAAAGAAGGGCCTCTGAAAAGGGACTTAGATAACCACATTTCTATAAATGGCCTCAGATATTTTAACCCATTAAAAGTTTCAGAAAGTTCTTCCATTTGTAGACCCTCTAACCTCTACAAAGCCTTCTTACAAAGGAACAGATAAGTAAGAATTTCTCTCTAAAAGTCACCTTCGATAGCCCGATAATGTTAGAACGCCTCAAATAGTTCTGCCAAAAGCCTCATATGGCCCCATCTGTCTGGCTCCCACAGGGAGCCTTCTAAAGGATTCTTTTTATAGAAAGCCCACAAAAAAGGTGTTCCAAAGCCATAAAAATGTATTTTATATATAAAAGATTTCTGAAAGGCTCCCTATAAGGTCTCAGGTAGATAACTTTTCTACAAGACCTCGAAAATATATCCTATCTATAAAAGTTTACAGAATGCTCATTCATGTATAGGGGCCCTTAGGAACATCTTGTGTCGATAAGGAAGGAATTCTAACTTGATGGTATATCTTAAAGGCAAAGACCTCAGAAAAGCTTTCTATCGATAAAATATCCCACAAATATCCTTCCTTCTATAAACAAATTTTTCTTATCGGAAAAGGTTTCGGAAAAATCTACTACAGGACCTCGGGCGGCTTTCATACAATAAAAGACCCCCATAAGGGCGATCTAACTTTATAAAGCCCTACCGTCACTAGTAGCCTTCAGGCAGGTTCTCCGAATATTCTCTCAATGGCATAATAAATATGGAGGACCTCAGAAGGTCCTTCTCTCCATATTGGCGATCCCTAATAAGGGCGATCCAACCACCTAATAAAGCCCTTTCGTCATTAGTAGCCTTCAGACAGGTTCTCAGCAACATCTCTCAATGGCATAATAAATAAGATGGAACTTAGAAGAGCCTTCTCTCCATAAGAGCTGACAAGAAAGGTCTCCAGCCCTAAAAGGTCTCTAACAACAAATTGTATCAAAACTTGTAAAAAAATCGGAAAAGTCTAGGAAGGGCTTTTATCTAGATTAAGCCTCAGTAGGGCAAAGAATAGACGAAAATGGCTTCAATCTATAAAAATTAGGTCCTCCGGGTCCTTTTGTGGTCGAAAGCTCCCAAAAAATGGTGAGAAAGGTCTTAGAATGTCTTAAATTTATAGAAGGGCTGCAGAAAAGTCTTCCTAAGCCAATTTTCTTCTCCGACTCTTTATGTCGCCAAAATATCTCAGAATAGTCCTCCATGGACAGAAGATCTTCAGAAAGGTCTTCTATTTCTATTTTCAAGTCTCAAAATAAATGAGAAAGGCCTGAGAATGATTTAAATTTATAGAAGGACTGCAGAAAATCTCAGAGATACCTTCTATTTCTGCTTTTAATCTCTAGAAACCCTCAAAAAGGCCTACTAACCTTATGGCCTAAGAAAGGCATGTTAGATATTGAGGAACTCAGAAGAACCTTGTCTCCATAAAATACTTTATAAAGTCCGTCTCTTGGCCTCAGAGAGGTCTCAGAATGGCTCAAGTCCCCAAAAGGTCTCAAAATAGTATTCCATGGATAGAAGATCTTCATAAAGACCTTCCATTTTTATTTTCAAGTCTCTAAAAGGGTGAGAGGGTCTTAGAATGACTTAAATTTATGGAAGGGCTGCAAAAAATTTCTCCTGACCCATTTTTATTCTAAAAGGTTCTCTGGCGCCCAAATATCTTTTATCTCTGCCTTTAATCTCTAGAAACCTTCAAAAAGGCCTCTTAACATCATGGCCTAAGGAAAGCCTTCTCCCAAAAAATATTTTATAAGGTCCGTCTCTTGACAATAAGTCTTACAGAGGCCAAGAAATATCTCTGAATGGCTTAAGTCCATGGAAGGCCTCTGTCACCTTTTTAGGAAAAATCTGAGAAAGGCTCTTATTTGTAGAAGGCCTCAGCAGGGCTAAAAGGGCTATGCCATCAGAAGGCTAAAAGATGTGTGAAAATGACTGAATTTTACGAAGGGCCTCAGAAACTCCTCTTGCCAATTCTTTTTTTCTGAGGCCTTCTATCGCCAAAAAGTTCTCAGAAAGGTTAAAAAAAACCCTCAGAATCGATTTTTATTCAAAGAAGAACTCAGATATGTCCCACTGTTCAAATATTCTCAAAAAGACACTATAAAAGGCCTTGAAAGACTTTCGATTTTCAGAAGACGTTTAGAAAGGTCTCCTATCTAAAAAAAAGTGCAAGGAGTGCCCATTCTCTAAGAAGGACCCAGAATGTTCCAAATAGCTTGCTATTTATGTAAAGAGTCTAAAAACAGCCTTTCTGTAGAAGATCTCAAAAAGTTATTTCATTTAAAGGTCTTCTATCTAAAGAAGACCTCAGAAGGTAGAATGCTTATCAAGGACCTGTGGCCATCAAAAGGACTTACGGCCAAGAATGTTCTGAAAATGGCTTAAATTTATTGAATGGGTTCAGAAAAGCCTTTTAAAGCCATTTTTACCTTCACAGAACGGCTTCTGTGAAGGCCTGATAAAGATTTAGAAATAGCCTGAGAACTCAAAGTTTATTATTTTTTCAAAGGACATGTTTTCAAGAAAACTCTTTGATTTTTCTATAGAAACATCCTGAGTCTCCAAGGTCTCCAATTTTGTCAAAAATATAATCAGAGAATAGCAGGTCTCTAATTTATGCTATAGATACTCTCCGTAGACCCACATTTTTTTCGATGATTTTTGAGAACAAAACTTGTAAGTCTCTTACATTTTTCTCTAGGATATCATATTTATCCTTTTTAGTCGTATGGAAGAGAGTCTGAAAATCTGAGACCCTCTATGAGAAGTCTCAAATAAAGGTTGAGTAAGTCTCTATATGTTTAGAAAGTATCATAGAGGTATAAAAAATCATCTGTCTCCAGAAGACCTTAGAAAATTATTTTGTCCTTAAAAGAACTTTCAAAGGACTGTGTTATGGAGAGTCTATAGGATGTTCACTTTTATATCAGAGCCCTCTTCTTTATCTCAGACCTCATTCTTTCCTGATCCAGGAACCGGGAATCGAATGGTAAAGAGTAGTTGCTAAAAACACCTGCTATATATTGTGACGGTTTTACTTATTATTTGTATGTATGTGTATGTGTATGGCATTTTGGAATGTCTATGTGTTGGTTTTCTTTTCTTTTTTCATATATATATAAATAGATATATATTTAATTTATATTATAACTTAATGCTAATGTTATCCACTTCTTCTTCCTCATCCTCCTCGTCCTCTCCGTAGCTGGTATACACGACACCTTAAGCATTAGATTCTTTTAAATTTTGCAATCTTGCCAATTGATTCGAATCTAGCTCTTCGGGTATACTCGCCCGACCGCCCACCACCTGTTTGGGTGCATCAACATCTGTCTCGCCATGTCTTGACTCATCCACACTCTGGGGACCGCCACCACCACCGCCTCCGGCATTGGCAAAAGCATCATCGAAATTAGCATCGAAATTTGCCTCAAAATTCGCTTCAAATCCTGTGGCGGCTGCATCACTGCTAGCCGCTGCATTGGCTTTCTCATTGAACGGGTCTTCGGCCTCTTCCAGCGGCTGGACCTCGGATGAGTCATGCTCCTGATCGGATGAGGGTAAATCCTCTGGATTGGGTGTAGGCGAGGTTAGTGTTATTGTTACGCTAACAGCCTCGAGGGCTTCATTACCTTCAATTATTTGCGGTATGTCCGTTTGTTTGGTGGCCTGTTTCTTTTTGCTGGCATCGTTGTCATCATCATCATCCATACCGCCGCCACCATCACCGGCACCACCCTTAGGCTTAGTTGTATTCTGCTCAGCATCATCATCATCATCGGCATCACCTTTGTCTTCTACTGGAGGGAAAGATTTATCGGATCCGTCTTCAACCATAGGGGTTGCAGCGGTTACAATAATTTGTGCCATACCTAAATTCAATGTATTGCCCTTGTCCTTGGTGACCTTGGCGCCCAATGTGGGTGCAGTAAATGAAGGTGGCGGTTGTGATGGTGGTGGATTACCATCTTCCTCGATATCGTCCTGGAAAATGGAAAAAATAATAATGAAAGGATTATTTCAATTGGAAAGGAGAGGGAAATTTATAAATGGGTGGGGAGCTCAAATCCCAACAAGAAAACCATAAAATTATATTTTAATACCAACGATCAGCATAAAATTTTATGTCGATTTAGCCATGTCCGTCCGTTTTTCCGTCTGTGGAATCACTCTAGCTCCAGAACGAAATGAAGTAGGTTTACAAAATTTTACTCAAATGTATATTATGTCTGCAGAGCTTTAAATATTGAACATGGGCCATTTAGGTCCACGTTTTGGTATAGCCCCCTTATAATGGTACCTCCCGATATTCGGTATTTTGATGATTTTTGAGACAATATTAATCGGAATTGTTTCAAATTTGATATTTGAAGTTCGAAATGGATGTTACAGCCTAAGACAGAAAATTGTCTGTGCAGGTCCACGTCTTCGTACAGCCCACATATAATGGTACCTCCCGATTTTAGCGACATTATTTACCGGAATTGTTTCAAATTTAGCATTTGAAGTTCGTAATGGATATTACAGTCTATGACAAAAAATTGTCTTTGCAGGACCAGGTCTTCGCTTAGCCCTCTTATATCGGTACCTCCCTATATTCCGTATTTTGATGATTTCAGCGACATTATTCACCGGAATTGTTTCAAATTTCGTATTTGAAGTTCCTAACGGGTACTATAGCCTGTGATAGAAAATTATATTTGCAGGTCCAGGTCTTCGCATAGCCCTCTTATATCGGTACCTCCCTATATTCGGTATTTTGAAGATTTCAGCGACATTATTAACCGGAATCATTTCAAATTTCGTATTTGAAGTTCTTAATGGGTACTACAGTCAATGACCGAAAATTGTCTCTGCAGGTCTAGGTCTTCGTACAGCCTCCATATAACGGTATCTCCCGATATTCGGTATTTTGATGATTTTTGCGACATTATGCATCGAAAATATTTCAAATTTTGTATTTGAAGTTCCTAATGAGTACTACAGTCTATGACGGAAAATTGTCTTTGCAGGTCCAGGTCTTCGTATAGCCCCCATATATCGGCACCTTCCGATATTCGGTATTTTGATTATTTCAGCGACATTATTCACCGGAATCGTTTCAAATTTCGTACTTGAAGTTCCCAATGGGTACCGCAGTCTATAACTAAAAATTATATTTGCAGGTCCAGGTCTTCGCATAGCCCTCTTATATCGGTGCCTCCCTATATTCGGTATTTTGATGATTTCAGCGACATTATTCACCGGAATCGTTTCAAATTTGGTATTTGAAGTTCTTAATGGGTACTATAGCCTCTGACAAAAAATTGTCTTTGCAGTTCCAGGTCTTCGTATAGTCCTCTTATATCGGTACCTCCCTATTTTTTGTATTTTGATGATTTCAGCAACATTATTTACCGGAATTTACCATTTGGATCTTCGTATTTGAAGTTCCAAATGGGTACCGCAGTCTATGACTGAAAATTATCTCTGCAGGTCTAGGTCTTCGTACAGCCTCCATATATCGGTACCTCCCTATATTCGGTATTTTGATGATTTCAGCGACATTATTCGCCGGAATTGCTTCAAATTTGGTATTTGATGTTCGTAATGGATGGTACAGCCTATGACAATAAATTGTCTATGTAGGTCCAGGTCTTCGTATAGCCCCCATATATCGGTACGTCCCGATATTCGGTATTTTGATGATTTTGGCGACATTATTCACCGTTTTCAAATTTCGTATATGAAACTAGAAATGGATTTTACAGCCTAAGATAGAAAATTATCTGTGCAGGTCCACGTCTTCGTATAGCCCCCATATAATGGTACCTCCCGATATTCGGTATTTTGATGATTTTTGCGACAATATTCATCGGAATTGTTTCAAATTTGGTATTTGAAGTTCGATATGGATGTTACAGCCTAAGACAGAAAATTGTCTGTGCAGGTCGTATAGTCTCTATATAACGGTACCGCCCTATATTCGGTATTTTGATGATTTAGGTGACATTAGCCACCGAAATTGTTTTAACTTTGGTATTTGAAGTTCTTAATGGGTACCGCAGTCTATGACATAAAATTGTCTTTGCAGGTTCAGGTCTTCGTATAGCCCCCATGTATCGGTACCTCCCGATATTCGGTATTTTGATAATTTCAGCGACATTATTTACCGAAATTGTTTCAAATTCCGTATTTGAGGTTCGTAACGGGTACTACATCCTGTGACGGAAAATTGTTTTTGCAGGTCCAGGTTTTCGTGTAGCCCCCATATAATGCTACGCCCCTATTTTCGGTATTTTGGGGATTTAAGCGATATTTTTCACCGGAAATGTTTTAAATTTCGTATTGGAAGATCTACGCAGGTCCACGTCTTCGTATATACCCCAAAATAACGGCAATTCCCTGTATTCGGCATTTTTAAAATTTTAATATATATTTTTTAATATATCCAAATTCCTTCCAAATGGTGGAAGGTATTCAAACTTCGGCCCGGCCGAATTTACTGCTTTTAAACTTGTTTTTTTTTTCTATAGAAATATTTTTAAGACTCTTAGCTCTTGCGTTTTTTTTCTTTTGAAATGATTCTGGGACCCAGGTCCCATAATCCGTTTCTTCTATAAATTATAAAAATTTTATATTTAGTTTTTATTTACCTCATCGTCCTGCTCTTGTATGAGCACTAATGTAAGCATTAGAATAGAAATTAAATTTTTTGATTAATTTTTTTCTCATTATCTTGACATGTGTCTTATGTGTCTAGAGTACATAATATCTTTTATATAATTTTTTCGTTTTTATTATTAATTGTAGTGTTAGGGAGAAATAATGGAAAAAATAGCAACAAAATTTACATAAAAAACAAAACTATTGCCACTAACTACGAATAAAAAAACATCTGTGTATATCTTGAAAACAGTTCTGGAAGATTACAAGTGTTGAGTATATATAGTCACAAAATTGTGTGTAAGTGTGTTTGTTCTGGTAGGAATATTGGGGTTCCATTCCAATTCGGAGTATCAGTGTCAGAATGCATGCAATTGGTTTTGGTAACGTGCTGTGTTTTGTGTGGTTGGTTTTTATATTTTTAAAAATTAATATTTTGAAATAAATAAGTGTAATTAATAAAGCTGTACATTTCTATAAATAGAAAGAATAATAAAATATATAAGTTGAATCGGTTACTATTTTTAATTTGTTTGAAATTGATTTTGTGCATCTATAAATTTTGTAATGCGGAGCAATGGTGCGTATACATATGGTCAACACATATACGACACTAGGGATATATAAACAGCAATTTTAATTTTATTTTCCTAAGCTTCATTTTTCCTAGAGCTATATATTAAAAACCTTTATAAACACGATCTAAGTTTAATTAGACATAATTTAAAATTGGCCTTTAGAGTTAATATTTATATATCTTCTGATCTTTTTGAGTGATGAATTGTCATTTTTAACTGTATCCAAATGTCTTAAATTGACGTGATACGTTAATTTTTTAAATGTTTTAATTCAGAAAAAAGTTCGTTCAATGTTCGTTCACTTTAATATCTATACTATACGCCACACTGTGGTACAGAGTACTATATTATGTCATAGAATTACATCCAACCGACAGTCCATTTATTTTTATTAAAAAAATACAGGTCGAACTTACTGACCAATTGGGATGAAATGTTTCACAAATCATTTGTTTGGCCCAATGAAACTCTATTGAAATTGGTTCAAATGTACATATAGCTCCCATATCTATTTTTCTCCGATTTTAAGTTTATTGTGCGCCATAAGTATATATATTAAATTTCGTAATTCCTACCTAATTCCGTCTAGTACTTGAAATTTGATGAAAATCGGTTCAGAAACAGCTATAGCTCTCATATATATTTCATCCGATTTCGGTGGCAGAAGGAGTAGAGTGATTATCTTTAGAGCAGATCTTGTGTTCATAAAAATATTCGGATGTGTGAAATTTCAAAAGAATCAGATGCTTAGTTTACATTTTGTGAGCGATATAATTATTCAAAGACCGTTGACCCGTTGTGGGGGAGGTACCAAAAGGAGTGAACGGATATACCTCATCTTTACGCAAGATCTTATGTTAATAAAAATACAAGATCTTGTGTTAATCAAAATATTGAATATGAAAAGTTTGAGCAAGAGAATCGGACTTTTCGTAGGCGAAAACTTCACCTAAAATTTTAAATTTGTTCTCTTTTTTGACAAAATTTCCAAACAGACCTTAATTCTGGCCAATCCATCAGAATTCCAGTGCTATTCTAAGACCCAATCCCAAAATTAGTACCATGTCCAAAGCGTCATCCTTCTCTCCTTCTCTCCTAGATACTAATAGTGACCCCTATGCCAAATTTCAGAATTCCATCTCGATCCCAACAGTCAAAGGCAAATTTTAAGGCAATCTGCACTTTTCGTACATTCATAGTACGAATTTCCAAAACCACCTCTTTCTCTTAACTACGAATTCTAATAGTGACATTCATATCAAATTTCAGAATTTCAGCACTATGCCTTCACCCAATACCAAATTTAGTAGCATTTAGTTATTTTCGTACGCATTTTCAAGACGATCTCAAGCTCAGATACTTAATATCAAATTCCAGATATCAGCTCTGTAATTTCCCCCATTTCCAAAATTAGTACCATTTAGTCCAATTATAGTCCACATTTCCAAAATCACCTCCATATCTTAACTACAGACACCGACAATTACATCTATATTAAATTCCATAATTTGAGCTCTACTCATTCAATTATATTACGCTTTAGCAAAACCACAACCAGACTTATACACCAGACACCAAAAGAGACCGCAATATCAAATTTCGGGATTCCAGCTCTATACATTTACTCAATACCAAATTTCGTAACATTTAGTACTTTTCGTATAACACCAAATGGTACCATTTTCGAATTTTTCGTTATATTAAAATCCGAATTTATATGGCCTATGCACCAAGACTGACTCTGGTGCAAAATTGCAAGATCTAGTTTCAGCCTTTTCGTTTCTAAAATCTAACTCTATTCGTTCACATAAAACAAATTGGTGCCATTTTAGAAATTTAGTACCATTTTTGAACTTTTCTTAAACTTAAAGTTTGAATTTCCAAAAACACTTTGGTACATGTATCCTGCATTCCGTTAGTGTTTCTCATTCCAAATTTGAGAATTATAGCTCACTCCGTCTGTCCAATTTTTAGTACTATTCGTACACTTTTAGTACGAATTTCTAAAATCCCAGGGTTATCACACGCCTACGCACCAAGACTGGTTCTAGTCCAAAATTTCTAGAATGTAACTTCAATCGTTTCGTCTCAAAACCAACTGTATCCGTTCACATAATACTAAATGGTACTTAAAGTTCGATTTTTCAAAAAAAAAAAAAAAATCCTGACCCCCTGACCTAGCTCTTATAAAAATTTTATTAATCGTTTCAGGTTAATTATATGTTGTGAACATGCTGACCTTCTGTGGGTGGAGGAGTACTAGCAGGAGTGGGCCGATATTAAAATATTTTTTTTATACCCTCCACCATTCTATGGAGGGTATATTAGCGTTATCATTCCGTTTGTAACTCCTCGAAATATTCAGAGTATTTATTCTGGATCAGCGTAAAATTCTAAGACGATCTAGCGATGTCCGTCTGTCTGTCGTCTTTCTGTTATAATCACGCTTATCTTTCGAACGAATTGAGATAAAAGGCTTACATGCATGTATAGTTTACCAGAATCAGGTTAAGTTTGTAGATGGGCCATGTCGGTCCACTTTTTCGTATAGCCCCCATATAAAGGTCCTCTCGATATTCGGTATTTTCATTATTTTAGCGACATTGTTTGATGATTTCAGTAAAATTATTCACTGGAAATGTTTCAAATTTCGTATTGGAAGATCCTAATAGGTACTACAATCTATGGCAAAAAATTTCTTATGCAGATCCAAGTCTTCGTATAGCCCCCATACGACAGTATCTCCCGATACTCGGTATTTTCAGGATTTTTGCAACATTATTCACTAGAACTGTTTCATATTTCGCATTTGTATTTCGTAATGGGTACTACAGCATATGGTCCCCATATAACGGTTTTAAATTAAGTGGTAGTTTTCGGATATTGTTTTTTTTTTTTTGAAAATTTTCAAGTTCCTTCCAAATGGTGGAGAGTATTAAAAGTTCAGCCCGGTCAACCTTAGCTGCTTTTTTACTTCTTTTCATTTAAAAAATATATTTGAAAATTATATAAAACTAAAAAAGAATGTAAATTTAATTCATATTTTAAAACTACTATATTTTTATTCTAAGGTATTAAGTTATTTAATTCAAATTGAATATTTTTAAAAAATTCAAAACTTTACATTTTTTTAATTCAAAATTTTTCAATTAACGGAAAAAAATTAAAATTTTAATTTTTAAATCAATAAAACTATTCCCTGGCCATTTTTTAATAAAACGTTTTGATATTATAAAAATATGTTAAAATCTTTAATAAAAAAAATCAAATGCTATTCGTACAAAAATATTTTATAAAAACAGTAGAATATGGTTATAACGAATCTCAATTATTGTAAAACAATGATTTTGAATTACTGTTTTTACAAATTCCAAAATTTAAATACATATTTTCTCTTTCAAGAAAAATATACTATTCAAAATTCCAAAATTCCATTCTACTCAATTCAAATATAGAGATAATCAAAATTTCTACCTAGGACGCATACCAAAGAATTGAAGTAAAAATTGAAAACATTAAACGCAACATAAATGCAACAATTACCCTTTTTGGCAGTGCTTGTTTTCGGTGCTTAAAAAACGGAAAGGAGTAGATAATAAATTTTGTTGAAAATCAAAAAAACAGAACACTTAAAGCGGTAGGTAAGGCAAATTAAAAGAAAAAAGACAACAGACAAAAGAAAATAAAATAAAATTGCAATTGAAAAGAAATTTGGAAACAAAAAAAAAACAGAAAACACACGAGGTAAAAACAATTGACAATTTTTATTATATGTTCTCTTCAACATCTTTTACTTCATCTTCTTCTTAGAAACTGCTTGGCATAGTAAAAGGGGGGTAACCAAAAAAAACAAGAAGAGATAAAGAATTTAAATACAACGATGACATTCTCTTTGGCGAGGTCATCGTATTATTGACGCCGTCGATATTTTTTTGGAAATGCTGTAAAGAAATCAAAACGCATAAAACACACACAGGATACGCACGCACACAGACACACCGAAAATTTTGAAACGAAAATACACACCCACACACTGAGACACCAAAAAAACGACAATGAGGGGAACATTTTTGATAGAGAATTTTTAAAATAATTTCATTTGAAAAATATTAAAAGAGATATTTTCAATTAATAGCTTTCAGATTTCAGAAAAAGAAAGAAAGAAAGAAAAAACAAATAGAAGTGGGAAATATGAAAATATCAGAGATTTCAGTTTCAGAGAGATTTTCCTTTATGGCTTGGAGATTTTTGTCTATCTTTACACCAACACGCTTATAACACACACACAGAGACACTTGAAATAGAATAGTTTCAGAAGACACATCGTGTACAGAGAGAGTCTTGTCGAGAGTAAGACTTGAGATTCAATCACATTTTTTTTGTTTTTGTTTTACCTCTAAAGATATACAGAAGCAAGAGGATTTTTTCAAAAGATTATGATGATAATTGAAAATTTTTGGTAGTAATGAAAAATGGGTGAAAATTAGTTGTTAATGTTAACCAAAAAATATTTAAAAAATAATTAAAAAAGAATGATTTGGATATTTTATTTGGTTGGCATCGTTCGAAAAATGAAGAAAGAACAACTCAAGAAATCTATGGTTGAGTAGACTAAAGGTTGAGTGAGAAAGAGACATGAAAAAGGTACACAAATCCTCTAAATTATTAAGGAAATTCTGTTTAAATTTACCTGGAGGAGGCATACTGGGTGCAGCACCATTTGGTATGTAGCCACTGTCGTCATCTAGAAAAAACAAGAAAAGAAGATATTAGAAACCGACAAAGAATAGGAAAAAATTTAAAGGAGAGTAAATACTGTTCTCAAAAGAGGTCTTATGTTAGAAATTCTCTCCTCGAAGAGCTGAAAAAATTATCATAAAAATGCCCTGTCTGTAGTGTCAGAGAATAACTGAAACATTTCTCATAAAATTACTTCTCATAGAAGAGCTGAAGCACTTCTCATAGAAGAGCTCCGAAGCACTTCTCATAGAAGAGCTGCTGAAACACTTATCGCAGAAGAGCTGAAGCACTTCTCCCAGAAGAGCTGAAGCACTTCTCCCAGAAGAGCTGAAGCACTTCTCCCAGAAGAGCTGAGCACTTCTCCCAGAAGAGCTGAAGCACTTCGTCTATGTCTCCATAGACGAGCTCAAGGTCGTCTATGTCTCAATAGACGAGCTCAAGGTCGTCTATGTCTCCATAGACGAGCTCAAGGTCGCCTATGTCTCAATAGACGAGCTCAAGGTCGTCTATGTCTCAGTAGACGAGCTCAAGGTCGTCTATGTCTCAATAGACGAGCTCAAGGTCGTCTATGTCTCAATAGACGAGCTCAAGGTCGTCTATGTCTCAATAGACGAGCTCAAGGTCGTCTATGTCTCAATAGACGAGCTCAAGGTCGTCTATGTCTCAATAGACGAGCTCAAGGTCGTCTATGTCTCAATAGACGAGCTCAAGGTCGTCTATGTCTCAATAGACGAGCTCAAGGTCGTCTATGCCTCAATAGACGAGCTCAAGGTCGTCTATGTCTCAATAGACGAGCTCAAGGTCGTCTATGTCTCAATAAACGAGCTCAAGGTCGTCTATGTTTCAAGTGGTCGTTCCATAGAAGCCCGCATGGTCTTCCCAAGAAGACCAAAATATGACCTTCTTATGGAAAAAGGATTCCCGATAACATCCCCTCACTCACCTGCCGTGTCCTGCGAACCAAACATATCCTCGGTCAATTCATGAGCATACTCTGGCGGTAGTGCTGGTGCGGGTGGGAGAGCAAAGCTAGGCGGTGCTGTTGGTGGTGGCGAATCCTCTCCACCCTCTGTCAACGGTTCACCATTCTCATCGCACTCTTCCACAACCAACGAGGGGAAATTACCAAATTTGCCATCCAATTCTCCCTCCCACCAACCATCGTCGACCCCATGAGCCGTTTTAGTCACAATCTTTATAATTTGTCCCTCCTCAAAGGTCAGCTCATCCTCAGCCGTGGCATCATAATCATACAAGGCAATACAATACATAACATCGGATTTCTTTTTCTGCGGTGCCATTATGACAGACACCTGGTCGGGTGATTGCATTGAGTCCACGGTCTGATCCTCGTTGTCGACGGTGTAATCCACAGATGAGAAAGATATCTGGGAACGCAATTGATTGGCGGCACCACTACCATTTGCGGCTGCCTCCTGTTCAATGTCCAAATAGTTGTGTGGCACATAACCCTCTTCGCCGCGATAATTACGGGCTCTCAACCAACCGTCGCCATCACCTTCGCCAATCACTTCCAATTGTTCGTTTTCAACAATGGTCAGTTCATCGGGATTTTGGGCCTGAAAATAATGGGAATTTAAGTTATATAGATATGTTCGGAGTTGGATATGATGGATACTAACAGTGTAACTATATAGAGCAGTACACTTGAATATGGCCTCTTTGGGTTCAGGAACAATGGGTTCTTCGGGTTCTTCTTCTTCGTCATCACCACCCCAATTAACTTCAGTTGGATCCTCCCAACCAGTGTTGGCACTCATAGCCGGCATTGTAGTTGTTGGTTCGGGTATATGTTCTTCGGTTTCTGCAAATGAAAGAGAGAGAGGGAGATGAAGAAAGTGGGATCATGAAAGAGAATTTTCAAGAGTATTTTTAAAATTTTTAAGGGTCTTTCAAAGCCTTAAACGTGGATTTTTTTAAATTGTTAAGGGTCTTTCAAAGCCTTAAATTTTTTAAGGGTATTTCAAAGCCTCAAACGTGGATTTTTTAAAGAATTTTTTAAGGGTCTTTAAAAGCCTCAAACGTGGATTAAAAAAAATGAAGAGTATATCTAAGCCTCAAACATGGATTAAAAAAATGAAGCCTCAAACGTGGATTTAAAAAAATGAAGGGTATTTCAAAGCTTCAAACGTGGATTTTTTAAAGACTTTATTGAAGGGTATTTCGAAGCCTCAAACGTGGATTTTTTAAAGATTTTTTCCAAGAATCTTTAAAAGCCTCAAACGTGGATTTTTTAAAGATTTTTTCCAAGAATCTTTCAAAGCATCAAACGTCGATTTTTCAAAGAATTTTTTCAAGAATCTTTCAAAGCCTCAAACGTCGATTTTTAAAGAATTTTTTCCAGAATCTTTCAAAGCCTCAAACGTCGATTTTTTAAAGAATTTTTTTGCAAAAGTCTTTTAAAGCCTCAAACGTGGATTTTTTAAAGAATTTTTGAAGGGTCTTTCAAGGCTTAAAACGTAGATTTTTTAAAGAATTTCTTTCAAAAGTCTTTCAAAGCCTCAAACGTGGATTTAAGAAAAAAATGCAAAAGTCTTTAAAAGCCTCAAACGTGGATTTTTTAAAGAATTTTTGAAGGGTCTTTCAAGGCTTAAAACGTAGATTTTTTAAAGAATTTTTTTCAAAAGTCTTTCAAAGCCTCAAACGTGGATTTAAAAAAAAATCAAAAGTCTTTAAAAGCCTCAAACGTGGATTTTTTAAAGAATTTTTTCAAAGTTTTAAAAGCCTCAAACGTGGATTTTTTAAAGAATTTTTTCAAAAGTCTTTAAAAGCCTCAAACGTGGATTTTTTAAAGAATTTTTTCAAGAGTCTTTAAAAGCCTCAAAATTTGATTTTTTAAAGAATTTTTAAACGTGGATTTTTTAAAGATTTTTTAAACGAGGAGTTTTTAAAGAATTTTTCAAGAGTTTTTCAAAGCATCAAAGGTGGATTTTTTAAGAATTTTTGGAATGGACTTTCAAGGCCTCAATCGTGGATTTTTTAAAGAATTTTTTGAAGGGTATTTCAAAGCCTCAAACGTGGATTTTTTAAAGAATTTTTTCAAGAGTCTTTCAAAGCCTCAAACGTGGATTTTTTAAAGAATTTTTTGAAGGGTATTTCAAAGCCTCAAACGTGGATTTTTTAAAGAATTTTTTGAAGGGTATTTCAAAGCCTCAAACGTGGATTTTTTAAAGAATTTTTTGAAGGGTATTTCAAAGCCTCAAACGTGGATTTTTTAAAGAATTTTTTGAAGGGTATTTCAAAGCCTCAAACGTGGATTTTTTAAAGAATTTTTTGAAGGGTATTTCAAAGCCTCAAACGTGGATTTTTTAAAGAATTTTTTGAAGGGTATTTCAAAGCCTCAAACGTGGATTTTTTTAAAGAATTTTTTGAAGGGTATTTCAAAGCATCAAACGTGGAATTTTTAAAGAATTTTTTCAAGAGTCTTTCAAAGCCTCAAACGTGGATTTTTTTAAATGATTTTTTGAAGGGTATTTCAAAGCATCAAACGTGGATTTTTTAAAGAATTTTTTCAAGAGTCTTTCAAAGCCTCAAACGTGGATTTTTTAAAGAATTTTTTGAAGGGTATTTCAAAGCATCAAACGTGGATTTTTTAAAGAATTTTTTCAAGAGTCTTTCAAAGCCTCAAACGTGGATTTTTTTAAAGAATTTTTTGAAGGGTATTTCAAAGCATCAAACGTGGATTTTTTAAAGAATTTTTTCAAGAGTCTTTCAAAGCCTCAAACGTGGATTTTTTAAAGAATTTTTTGAAGGGTATTTCAAAGCCTCAAACGTGGATTTTTTAAAGAATTTTTTGAAGGGTATTTCAAAGCCTCAAACGTGGATTTTTTAAAGAATTTTTTGAAGGGTATTTCAAATCCTCAAACGTGGATTTTTTAAAGAATTTTTTGAAGGGTATTTCAAAGCTTCAAACGTGGATTTTTTAAAGAATTTTTTGAAGGGTATTTCAAAGCTTCAAACGTGGATTTTTTAAAGAATTTTTTGAAGGGTATTGCAAAGCTTCAAACGTTGATTTTTTAAAGAAATTTTTGAAGGGTATTTCAAGGCTTCAAACGTGGATTTTTTAAAGAAATTTTTGAAGGGTCTTTAAAATCCTCAAACGTGGATTTTTTAAAGAAATTTTTGAAGGGTCTTTAAAATCCTCAAACGTGGATTTTTTAAAGAAATTTTTGAAGGGTCTTTAAAATCCTCAAACGTGGATTTTTTAAAGAAATTTTTGAAGGGTCTTTAAAATCCTCAAACGTGGATTTTTTAAAGAAATTTTTGAAGGGTCTTTAAAATCCTCAAACGTGGATTTTTTAAAGAAATTTTTGAAGGGTCTTTAAAATCCTCAAACGTGGATTTTTTAAAGAAATTTTTGAAGGGTCTTTAAAATCCTCAAACGTGGATTTTTTAAAGAAATTTTTGAAGGGTCTTTAAAATCCTCAAACGTGGATTTTTTAAAGAAATTTTTGAAGGGTCTTTAAAATCCTCAAACGTGGATTTTTTAAAGAAATTTTTGAAGGGTCTTTAAAATCCTCAAACGTGGATTTTTTAAAGAAATTTTTGAAGGGTCTTTAAAATCCTCAAACGTGGATTTTTTAAAGAAATTTTTGAAGGGTCTTTAAAATCCTCAAACGTGGATTTTTTAAAGAAATTTTTGAAGGGTCTTTAAAATCCTCAAACGTGGATTTTTTAAAGAAATTTTTGAAGGGTCTTTAAAATCCTCAAACGTGGATTTTTTAAAGAAATTTTTGAAGGGTCTTTAAAATCCTCAAACGTGGATTTTTTAAAGAAATTTTTGAAGGGTCTTTAAAATCCTCAAACGTGGATTTTTTAAAGAAATTTTTGAAGGGTCTTTAAAATCCTCAAACGTGGATTTTTTAAAGAAATTTTTGAAGGGTCTTTAAAATCCTCAAACGTGGATTTTTTAAAGAAATTTTTGAAGGGTCTTTAAAATCCTCAAACGTGGATTTTTTAAAGAAATTTTTGAAGGGTCTTTAAAATCCTCAAACGTGGATTTTTTAAAGAAATTTTTGAAGGGTCTTTAAAATCCTCAAACGTGGATTTTTTAAAGAAATTTTTGAAGGGTCTTTAAAATCCTCAAACGTGGATTTTTTAAAGAAATTTTTGAAGGGTCTTTAAAATCCTCAAACGTGGATTTTTAAAGAATTTTTAAAAAGTCTTTCAAAGCCTCAGAAGAGGATTTTTGAAAGAATTTTTCCACGGATTTTTCAAAGGATCAAACGTGGATTTTTTAAAGAATTTTTAAAAAGTCTTTCAAAGCCTCAGAAATGGATTTTTTAAAGAATTTTTCCACGGATTTTTCAAAGGATCAAACGTGGATTTTTTAAAGAATTTTTAAAAAGTCTTTCAAAGCCTCAGAAAGGGATTTTTTAAAGAATTTTCCAAGGATTATTCAAAGCCTGAAACGTGGATTTTTTAAAGAATTTTTAAAAAGTCTTTCAAAGCCTCAGAAAGGGATTTTTTTGAAGAATTTTCCAAGGATTATTCAAGCCTCAAACGTGTTTTTTTAAAGAATTTTTTTAAGGGTCTTTCAAAGCTTCAATAATGGACTTTTTAAAAAAAAATTTTTCAAAGAATTATTCAAAGCCCTAAACGAGGATTTTTAAAGAATTTTTTAAGGGTCTTTCAAAGCCTCAAACGTGGATTTTTTAAAGAATATTTACAAGAATCTTTAAAAGCCTCAAAATTGGATTTTCCAACGATTTTTAAAGGGACTTTCAAAGGATCAAAATTTGACTTTTTAAAAGATCTTTTAAAGAGGCTTTCAAAGTTTCAAATTTGGATTTTTTTCAAAGATTTTTTAAAAGGACTTTCAAAGACTCAAAAGTAGACTTTTTTAGAATGTTTGAAGGGTATTTCAAAGTGGATTCTTAAAAAAAATTTAGAGGGTTTAAAATACCCTCAAAGTGGATTTTTAAAAAACATTTTTGAGGGTTTGAAATACCCTCAAACGTAGATTTTTAAGGAGCATATCTGAAGTTCTTTAAAGGCTTTTTAAGAACATTTTTGAAGGACTGTTTTATGTCCCAAATGAGAATTTTCAGATTTTTTTGTGAGTTTTATAGTGCCCCGAACGAGATTTTTTGAAAAATATTTTATGCCCCAAAAATTTAATATATTTTGATGGTATTTTTGTACCCCAAACGTGAATTTTTTCAGATTATTTTTGAAGGGTATTTCACGACCTCACAAGTGATTTTTTTAAATGTTTTTCGGAGGGATTTTGGGAAGTTCATCAAAATTTGATTTTTTTTAAATTTGGAAGGGGATTTTTCAAGAATATTTGAGAGGCAGGACTTCCTTTTAGTTCCACAAACAAAAAATGTTTGAATTACTTACCTTCATCACTATCGCTAAACGTACGGTCCCTTGTAAGCTGTGGTTCTTCCTTGGCAGCCGTTGCAGCGGCAGCAGTTGCACCTCCAGCAGCCTCTTCCTTGTCGCTGTCATAGAATGAATCTGAACTGGGATTTTCCTACAAAAAATATAAAATTTTATTAAAATTCAATTTCTTTCATTCAAAAAATATCTCTCACTCACCCCTTGACCCGAAGCATCGGTACGCATTGAAATGGAACTTGCCGATCGGGTCAACTCCTGAGCACCCATTATCTCCGCCTCTTGGACCCATTCATCGACATTAATACCACCCTCACGCAAACTTTGCAAACATGCCTCCGCCTTGGCTTTCTCCGTTTCCGAACGGCGTATTTGATCACGGAACTCTTCAATCTTGGTATCCAAATCAGGACCATTGGGGTCATTTGGATCGCTTCGCTGACCTGAATCACGTAGAGCAACACACACTGCCAATTTTTTAGCATTTTCACGTATCGATAGATTCTCCTTGACCACACGACCAGCCAGATTTTTAGCCTCTTTGGTTAGCGTTTCCACGGCCGATTCATGTTCGGTTGTTACCTTGCGGATCGGATCATTGTCGCATGGCTCAAAATCATATTGAATATGCTGCTTCAATACCGGATAGAAGAGATAACAACACTGTAAATTATACTCCCTGGTCAGCTGTTGGGCTTGATCCCGTATCTTGCCAAAAGAGTTTTGTGTTGCCGAACAGGTCAGCAATTCGGTTCGACCCATAAGCGTCAAATACTCCGCCACACGTTCAAACACATAATTTTCCATGGTCGTCATTGTCGTCTGCAAATCAACGGTGAAATAGCGATTCTGATGGGCATTGGCAGCGGCCAAACTGAGAATGTAATCGTTGCGAGCCCCCGTCGACTTCTCCTCCAGCAATTCCTTGCGCGATGTCACCCGAGCACTGTTCTTTTGCAGCGATGTTATCGATTGGAAAAATGAACCCTTCTTCTTTTTCAATTTCTCCTCAATGTCGCGTGCCTTGTCACGCACATCGTGGGCACAGTGTTCTTCATCGAAGTACTGTTTCTTGGCCTTGTCCAAGTCGCCAACACTCAAGTGCAGCTCCTTTTGGACGTTCACAATGTACGACAAGGACTTCTTGGCAATACCCAATTTATAGTCTCGCAGAACTTTGGCTTCATCGGCAATCTGCTGTTGGAAAACTTCTATGGCGGCGAGGCGAGCCCGTGCCAGTTTCTCATTTTCTTCCAATACCGTACGCCAAACGCTCCACATGTTCCTGCAAAGGGACGGTAGTCGAAAAAATAAATTAGTTTATCAGTCAATGATATTTTGGGGGGTGTATTTGTAAGTCAATGTTGTTGTTATTTTATCTCAAATGGGAGTGTGTTCGTGTTTGTGTTTTTCTTTTTTTTTCAAATGAATTCCAGTTGTTCCACAACCAAATAGCTATCCACCCCCAAAAAAACTTTGAATGTTCCAAACTGATTAGATTTGTATTAGAGCAGAAGACAAAGCAGAATATAGTCTGGTGACCTATATTTATTTGTATTACGTCATTGCTAACGCCTTTTTATTCGGAATCCCGAAGCTATTAAAATATATTTTTAAATATTTTTTTTTAAAGAAGACATTATGATGTCCTGAGAGTTTATGATGTCCTGTAAGAACCCCTTTAGGCTTTCTACTAGAAGACTTTCTGGACTGCTATGCCAAAAGTTATTAGTTCTTATATGGCCTTCTGTGAGAAGACCTTCTGGCCTTCTAAGAGAAGACCTTCTGGCCTTCTACGAGAAGACCTCCTGGCCTTCTAAGAGAAGACTTCCTGGCCTTCTTAGAGAAGACTTCCTGGCCTTCTACGAGAAGACCTCCTGGCCTTCTAAGAGAAGACCTCCTGGCCTTCTAAGAGAAGACCTCCTGGCCTTCTAAGAGAAGACCTCCTGGCCTTCTAAGAGAAGACTTTCTGGCCTTCTAAGAGAAGACCTCCTGGCTTCTAAGAGAAGACCTCCTGGCCTTCTAAGAGAAGACCTTCTGGTCTTCTAAGATAAGACCTTCTGGTCTTCTAAGAGAAGACCTTTTGGCCTTCTCTGAGAAGACCTCCTAGTCTTCTATTAGAAGACTTCCTTGACTTCTATAAGAAGACCATCCGGCCTCCTAGGTGAAGACTTTCTGGCCTTTTAAGAATAAACCTTCTGGCCTTCTCTGAGTAGACCTTCTATCCTCCTCTGAGAAGACCTTCTAGCCTTCTCTGAGAGACCTTTTGGCCTTCTCTGAGAACTGCCCTTCTTGGAGAAGACCTTCTCGCCTTCTCTGAGAAGAGATCCTACTCTTCTATGAGAAGGCCTCCTTGACTTCTCAAAGAAGACCTCATTGACTTCTATGAGAACACCATCCGTCTCCTAGGTGAAGACTTTCTGGCCTTCTAGGAGTAAACCTTCTGGCCTTCTCTGAGAAGACACTCTAGGTTTCTATGAGACGAGCTTCCATGCTTTGAAGAGGCGATCTTCAGGGCCTCTCTGAGAAGACCATCCGGCTTTCTATGAAAAGTGCTTCAGCAGCTCTTCTATGAGAAGTGCTTCAGCAGCTCTTCTATGAGAAGTGCTTCAGCAGCTCTTCTATGAGAAGTGCTTCAGCAGCTCTTCTATGAGAAGTGCTTCTATGAGAAGACCTTCAGCTCTTCTATGAGAAGACCTTCAGCTCTTCTATGAGAAGACCTTCAGCTCTTCTATGAGAAGACCTTCAGCTCTTCTATGAGAAGACCTTCAGCTCTTCTATGAGAAGACCTTCAGCTCTTCTATGAGAAGACCTTCAGCTCTTCTATGAGAAGACCTTCAGCTCTTCTATGAGAAGACCTTCAGCTCTTCTATGAGAAGACCTTCAGCTCTTCTATGAGAAGACCTTCAGCTCTTCTATGAGAAGACCTTCAGCTCTTCTATGAGAAGACCTTCAGCTCTTCTATGAGAAGACCTTCAGCTCTTCTATGAGAAGACCTTCAGCTCTTCTATGAGAAGACCTTCAGCTCTTCTATGAGAAGACCTTCAGCTCTTCTATGAGAAGACCTTCAGCTCTTCTATGAGGAGACCTTCAGTTCTTCTATGAGAAGACCTTCAGCTCTTCTATGAGGAGACCTTCAGCTCTTCTATGAGGAGACCTTCAGCTCTTCTATGAGGAGACCTTCAGCTCTTCTATGAGGAGACCTTCAGCTCTTCTATGAGGAGACCTTCAGCTCTTCTATGAGGAGACCTTCAGCTCTTCTATGAGGAGACCTTCAGCTCTTCTATGAGGAGACCTTCAGCTCTTCTATGAGGAGAGATTCAGCTCTTCTGAGAGAAGTGCTTTAGCTATTTTGTGAGAAGTGATTCAGCTCTTCTATGAGAAGACTTCTGGTCTTCTGTGAGGAGACTTTCTGGCCTTATATGAGAAAACCTTCTGGCCTTTTCTGAGAACACTTTCTGGCCTTCTGTAAGAAGACTTTCTGGTCTTCTATGGGAAGTCCTTCTGGTCTTCTATGAAAAGATCTTCTGGTCTTCTCTGAGAACACCTTCTGTCCTTCTATGAGAAGACCTTCTGGTCTTCTATTAGAAGACCTTTCGCCCTTCTATAATAAGATCTATGAGAAGACCTTCTGGTCTTCTATTAGAAGACCTTTCGCCCTACTATGATAAGATCTATGAGCTTTTAGCTTTCTTTGAGAAGACCTTTTGCCCTTTTATGGGAAGACCTTCTGATCTCCTTCAAAAATAATTTTCGGCCTCCTTCAAGAAGACTTCTAGTCTACTGCAAAAAGACCTTCAGCTCTTTTTCAAGGAGACCTTCTGGTCTCCTTCAAGAAGACCTTCTGACCAGCTTTAAGAAGACCTTCTTGTCTCCTTTAAGAAGACCTTGTGGTCTCTTTTAGAAGACCTTCTTGTCTCTTTTAAGAAGACCTTCTGACCACCTTTAAAAAAAAACCTTCTGGTCTATTTTTAGCAGACCTACGGGCCTCCTTCAAGGAGACTTTTTAGTCTCGTTCAGGAAGACCTTCTGGTCTCCGTAAAGAAGTTCTTCTTGTCTCCTTCCGGAAGACTTTCTGGTCTCCTTCAAGTAGACCTTCTGGCTTTCTTTAAGAAGTCCTTCTGGTCTCCTTCAAGTAGACCTTCTGGTTTCCTTTAAGAAGTCCTTCTGGCATCCTTGAAGAAGGCTTTCTTCTCTCCTTCAAGAAGACTTTCTGGTCTCCTGCATGAAGACCTTCAGGTCTCCGTCAAGAAGACCGGCTAGACTTTTTGGAAAACGAATATTTTTATCCTCCCATAAAAAAAAAATTTAAAAATTATTTCCTAAATAATCCTGGCGTATGATAGCATGATATCAAATTCAAGGTAGCTCTTCAAGCTCCCATCAACGTGTACAAGTGGACATTTTAAGGTAAATAGATGCGTATGTATGCATGCATGTGTGTGTTGTGTACATTCAACTTACCATCTTTCTTCCATGCCCTCCATTTTGATATCCGGTATATTGGGTATCTTTTTGTTCAAATACTGTGAGGATATCTTGAGCAATGCCTCACTGTACGACTTTTCCACGGCCGAACGCTTAATGGTGAACTGTCGTATATCCTCGAGCAAATCGCACTCATGTTGATTCTTCAGCTGCAACTTGGCCACTTGTTCCGTATGTAAATTCTTTAGGAATTTCACATAGTTACCCTAATTAGTCACGAAGGACCATAAGGAGTGGGAGAGACGGAAAAGAAAAAAAAACACAGAGAAATATAAATAAATATGCAGGATATCAGCTCGGGAAGTGGTCGATGATTAGAGAGAAATAAACTGAAGTAAATACAAAAAGGTGAGAGGTGATGTTCAGGATGGTGATGGTTATGGCAAATGATGATGCATGCGTTTCTGTTATAAAATAAATATGTATGTATGTGTGTTCGTGTGTGATGTGAGATGAATGTATTAGTGTAGTATGTGGCTTGTCACGTTGCATGAATGAGAAAATGACAAAGATTTAGATAACAAATGTATTTTGATTAATATTAACAAAAATAGGAGAATTAGAATAACAACAAAGACAAACACAAACAAAATTTGCCGTTAGACTCCGATGAATCTAATCACAAAGAGAGAGAGAGAGAGAGAGAGGGGTGGAGTTGGGGGGACTATGCTTACCTTACGCGGTGGGGGCTGCATTTTATTATTAGTGTTTCTAGTATTCTCTTATCCTAACAAATACAAATAGCGTCCAATTTTTGTAATGAATTGAAATGGCAATTTTAAAAAATATCTTTCGATATTTGATTAGTTTTTCTTCGATTTTTGCTGTTGTTGTTTCTTTTTGTTGTTCCTTATTTTTAGCTCTTTTACGTATGTCGTGAATGAGTATAGCAGGTATACATATGTGTATGAGTGTTTCTGTGTTTGTTTGCGTGTGTGTGTGAGAGAGTTCGTGAAATAGTCTTAATGGGAGCACATAGTATGTCCGTTCGATTTTCTGTTAGTCCTCCAGTTTTTTTTTTATTTTTTGTTGTTCTGTTTTGTTTTGGATGACAGGTTATATGTGTGTATGTGTGTGAGTATTGGTGCGTTTAAGCGTTAAGCATTTAGCGTATTATTTTTTCAGATTCTTGGCTTTTTTATTTATTATTATTCAACACAAGCACGGACACATGGTCGTTTTTATCTAAAAATACAATACAAAAATAGAAGTTAATTGAATGCAGGAAAAATTGGAAAATGAAAAAAAAAAGAAAATTATAGATAGTTTATAAATTATTTATTATTCGTATAAGGTTGTAGTAGGACAAGCAATTATTGCTTTATGCAATTGACTAACTCTTAGGGTGCAAACAAGATTTAGATGTAATATATTATATGCAGTTTTCAAAATTTAGAGCTGGATTCAGCGTGCATTAGCTCCACATACGAGTTATTTATTTCGAAGAGCAACATTTCTTAGCAGATCAAAATAACAGGTCTTTTATGGATATAGTAACAAGTAAAATAATATCAGTCGGTTTTGCCGACAGATGCATACCCCCAGCCTTGAGTCATGATTATTTAAACCTTTGACCCTTCCGAAGCAGATGCGCAATATTCACCAATTCATATCTGACCTAGAACTTATATAAATATTTCAACGTGCCAGATTTGGACTATATCGACTTCCTGCTTTACAGAATTTTTCCTATGTGCAATTTTTTTGAAAATGTGGAAATATGCGTGAGGTGCCTGATATGGCGGTCTGAAGTATTCCGATTTCATACTTCATCTAATACAGATTAAAATATTGAATTTGAAGGAAATCGAACATTTATATTCAATTTTATGCGAAATAATAAATTCCGACAAATAACATATTCATATCAGATTTCTAGTTAAAAGGGATAAATAGGTATAGCAAGTTGTAAAGAATCGCCGGCTTGCATCGCAAGTTATGACAGATAATAGTATTGAAAATTGTTACCCTTTGTGAGGTACCAGAAGGTACCACCTTCACAACAGATCTTGTGTTAGAAAAAATGTTTGTGTGTGTGAAATTTGAAGAGAGTTGGATTGTTATTTCGCGTTTTGTTTTTCAAAATTTTGAATCCTTTGTGGGGAAAGTACCAGAAATAGTGTGCCGATTTATTCCATTTTCACAGCAGATATTGTGTTAATAAAAATAATGGGATGTGTAAAATTTGAAGGAAATCGGATGCTTATTTGACTCTATAAGAAGAAATGGTCCGATCTTTATCATCTTTATAACAGATCTTGTGTTGATGGAATTATTGAGAGATGAGTACCAAGTCTGAATGGAATCGGACGTTAATGTCGCGTTTTATGAACTTCATGGATACTTAAAATGTTGACCCTATGTGGGGGAGGTACCAGAAGAAGGTGACCGATATATACCAGAAGGAGTTTCCCAATATATCCCATCTTCACAGCAGATCTTGTGCAAGTAGATGTGTGATGTATGAAGAGAACTGGATGCTTATTCGGATTTTATGACCGTTTCGGTTATTCAAAATTTTTTCCCTATGTGGTGGAGGTACCAGAACGAATGGTCCCATCTTTATAACTGATCTTGTATTGACGGAAGTATTGAGATGTCCAAAGTCTGAATGGAATGGGATGTTAATTTTGTTTTTTATGAGCTTCATAAATATTCAAAAATTTGACCCTTTGTGTGGGAGGTATCAGAAGGAGACCACCGATATATTCCGTCTTCACATCAGACCTTGGGGTAATAAAAATATTGATATTTGTGTAATTTGAAGATAACCTGATGCTTATTTCGGATTTTATGATCGTTTTACTAATTAAAAATGTTGACCCATTTGTGGGGGAGGAACCAGAAGAAATGGTCCCATCTCTACCATCTTTATAACAGATCTTGTGTTGATAGAAATATTGAGAGATGAGTACCAAGTCTGAATGGAATCGGACGTTAATTTCGCGTTTTATGAACTTCATGGATACTTAAAATGTGGGGGAGGTACCAGAAGAAGTTGACCGTTATATATCATCTTCTTTGCAGATCTTGGGTTAATAAAAATAATGGGATGTGTGAAATTTGAAGAGAGCATGATGCTTATTTCCGATTTTATGATCGTTTTGGTTATTCAAAATTTCGACACTTTTTGGGGGGAAGTACCAGAAGAAGTGGACCGATCTCTACCATCTTTTTAACAGATCTTGTGTTGATAGAAATATTTAGATGTGCCAAGTCTGACTGGAATCGAATGTTAAGTTCGCATTTCATGAACTTCATGAATACTCAAAATGTTGACCCTTTGTGGGGGAGGTACGAGAAGAAGGTGACCGATATATACCATCTTCTTTGCATATCTTGGGTTGATAAAAATATTGTGATGAGTGAAATTTGAAGAGAAGAAGAAATGGTCCGATCTCTACCATCTTTATAACAGATATTGTATTGACAGAAATATTGAGATGTGCCAAGTCTGAATGGAATCGGATGTTAATTTCGCATTTTATGAACTTCATGGATATTCAAAATTTTGACCCTTTGTGGGGGAGGTACCAGAAGGAGTGGACTGATATATTCGATGTTCACACAAGACCTTGGGGTTAATAAAAATGTTGAGATTTATATAATTTGAAGATAATCGGACACTTACATCACATTTTTGAAGAATTATAATTATTCAAAATTTTGATCCTTTGTGGGGGAGGTACTTTGACCTAGCACTGATGCAAATATTCGGATTTGCAAAATTGGAGCAAAATCGAATTATCGTTTCTCTTTCTGTGCAAAAAATATATCTTTTCAAAATTTTGACATTTTGTGGGTGAAGTACCAGAAGGAGTGGAACGATATTGCCCATCTTCGAACTCGATTTAAATTTGACAAAAATATTGCGATTTACCAATTGCGATGGACCAAATCGAATGCTCCGTTTCAGAGTTATGGTGCGCACCATCCAGCCAGACAGACAAACAGACTCAACCCCACACATTAACAGTGACATGAATGAAAAATTTCAAACACTATCCGTTCCCTATATATCAAATTTAATACCATTTAGTACTTTTCGTATACTGATAATACATACTTCCGCAGTAGTGTCCCCAAAACCAATATATCCAGCACCATCTGTTCATCCAGTACAGTTCATGCATTTAGTACACATTTCCAAAACCACCTCCTTATATGAACCCTAGTTCCCCATCTTAATTCTTACATCAAATATTGTGCTTTTTAGTACTTTTTTTGCACTTATAGTTCGAATTTCCAAAAACCCAGCCGCACCCTAGATACCAACACTGACTCACTTGCAAAATTTCAAGTCCCATTCGTTTTGCGTTAAGAATTGTTTAAAAGTTATTAACATTATTTGGATGGGTGCACTCGAAGATATTTTCAATTATTTTTCATTACCACATGTGTAGAGTATCAAAAATTCGGTATGACCGGCCTTGATGCCTTTTACTTGTTTTTTTTTTTTTTCATAATTAATTTATAACTAAAACAAAACATAACTCCATAAAATTTACCGGGGATTAAATTCGAGGGAAAGCTTTCTGATAAACATTTGGATAGATTTTAATAAAACATTTACCAAATATTCGTTCAGTTTGCGCAGAATTTAACCCTGACAAAATTATCTGCTACATTTATTTTCGTTAGGAAAGAGATAAGATTTGGTATTGATTGTTTTTACTTTTTTTTTTTGGTTTAGAGGTCACATTTGTTTGAACGGGTCGATGAACGCTGTTATAACGTTGGTAAGTAACAACTAAACAAGTGGGAAGACTATTTTTAGTTTGAAATTCGTTTTCCTACTCTTATTGATTTATTTTTGAGACATCAATGGAGACACATTCGGCCAACAGTTTAGCAGGCTGATTTTAAATTCGAAATATATAATAGGACATATAAGTGTCTTTACATATTTTTATGGGTTATTTCCCTCTTTATCAAGTTATGGAATAATGTGTTTACAAGAACAGTAGCGGAATTCTTTTCTTTTTCTGTTACCTGAAAAAATCCACGCCTTTGAAATCCAAAATTTTAATTTTAACAAGTAAAAAAGCTGTAAGTTCGGCCGGACCGAACTTTATATACCCTCTACCATTTGGAACGAATTTGACAATTTAAAAAAAATAGAAACTATTAAAAATTCTGTTAAAATCTTTAAAATGCCGAATGTAGCCGTTATAAAAGGGTCTGTACGACGACGGGGACTTGCATAGGCAAGTTGAAAAAATTGGTGAAAAATGTAGCTAAAATCATCAAAATACCGAACATAGGGCGGTATAGACTGAAGTACCCAATAGGAACTTCAAATACGAAATTTGAAACAATTCTGGTGAATAATGTCGCTGGAATTTTTAAAATACCGATTATAGGGAGGTACCGATATATGGGGGCTATACGAAGACGTAGACCGGCACAGACATTTTTTGTCATAGATTGAAGTACCTATTAAGAACTTCAAATTCGAAATTTGAAACAATTCCGGTGTATAACGCCGCTGAAAGCAGCTGTATAACGTCGCTGAAAGCAGCTAAATACCGATCGAATGTACCAACATTTAGGTCATTTTGGAGTAATATTGGCCATTTAGTGCACAACTAACCCGAAATCGGTATTTATATAGAAGCTATATTCAAATCTGAACCGATCTTGATTCAATTTGTCAGAGTATATCTGGGCTGTGTCTGATACCACATGTCATTCTTGTGGGGTGCATATTACGAATATGAGGGACTTAAACACCAAATCGGATGAAACATATATGTATATATATGTGGGATGTATAGCTATATCTGCATCGATTTTCACCAAACTTCATATACTGGCATCTAAACTGAATTCGGTCGGATGTACCAAAATACAGGTCATTTGGACGGTTAAATATATATACGGGAGCTATATCTAAATTTTAACCGATTCTCACCAATTTCAATAGGCGTCGTCCTTGGGCCAAACAAATATTGTTTGGAAAATGTCATCTCAACCGGATAATAAATTTGCCCAGTGCCTAGTCAAAATAACGGTTTTAGACACTAGGTCTCTTTGGACCAAATCCGTTTCAGGACATTTGGGGTCGATTTAGCGGTGTCCATCCGTTCGTCTGGCTGGTACGCACGATAACTCTCGATGGGAGTATCCGATTTGGTCCAAACTTGGTACATAGTAATATTTGTGTCAAATTTAGATCGAGTTCGGAGATGGGCAATATCGGACCACTCCTTCTGGTACCTCCCCCACAAAAGATCGAAATTTTCAAAAAAAATATATATTTTCTGCACAGAAAGAGAAACGATAATCCGATTTTGGTCCAACTTTGTAAATTCTAATATTTGCGTCAGTGCTAGGTTAGGTGCGAAAATGGACAATATCAGTCCACTCCATCAAGTACCTCCTCCACAAAGGGTCAAAATTTTGAATAATTACAATTCTTATAAAATGTGATGAAAGAGTCCGATTATCTTCAAATTTCACACATCCCAATAATTTATTAACCCAAGGTCTGGTGTGAAGATGAATCGAATGATCGAAATTTTGAATATTCATTAAGCTCATAAAACGCGAAATAAACATCACATTTCATTCAGACTTGGCACATCTGAATATTTCTATCAACACAGGATCTGTTATAAAGGCGGTAGAGATCGGACCATTCCTGCTGATAAAGGGTCAAAGTTTTGAATAATCAAAACGTTCATAAAATCCGAAATAAGCATCAGGTTATCTTTATATTTCACACATTCCATTATTTCTACTTATGCAAGAACTGTTGTGAAGATGGGATATATCGGTCCTCTCCTTCTGGTTCATAGTTTTCCTCATTTTTAAAATGAGTTAAATTGCGCGAAAATTTAATGAAATGCCTGATCCAAACTTCTCAATCTTTCAAATTCATGGCTAAACTGGTTAATAGGTTTCATACGTGAGCCACAATCTACGTGTCTTCCAAACATTGGTTTTGAAAATATTTTGTTTTCATTTTTCAAAACGATAAATACATACACAAAATTGGCAGAAGTCGGGGACACTTAAAAAAATTGTAATTAGCTGGTAGCTCTACCATACCTTTTTATTGTACCATGATATATAGCTGGGAACCCCTTCTGGAACCTCACCCACAAAGGGTCACAATTTTCAATACTTTTATCTGTCATATCTTACGAAACAAGTCAGCGCTTCTTTACAATTTGCTACATCTAAATATTTCTCTCAACCAGAAACTTGGGATGAATATGGATTTTATGATAAAGTTACAAATATGGACCAAACATGGCACGTCGCAATATAATATTGGCCGATTCCTGTAGAACCCACTCCATAGTGGGCCAAGAGTTTGAATAATCATAACATCATATTTAAATTATATTTAAATAATCGAGCATTGGCTGAGGGCATACGTCTGCCGGCAGAATCGACTGATTGTTTTTAATTGGTTTGTTTTAAGCATGATGAATCCTTTCACATCCTTCGTAAATCAAAAAATTTTATATCCGATATTAAAGTCATTGTATTGGTTCGTTACACAAATAAATTTCCAATGAATTCGATTTTTCATCAACTCCACAATTTTTTATGAATTTTTTTCTATAGGAAACAAAGTTTTTGTTCTTTTCAGTATGATAAGCCCTTTAACATCCCTTATAAATCCAAAAAAAATCAATAAATATTAGCAAACATGGTTATTCTTGGTCCCATACACAATTTCCAGCGACTTCAATTTTCTTTTTACAAATCCACAAACCCTTTTAAAATCTTTTTTTTTTTTTTTTTTGTAGGACATGTAGGACATTGTAGGACAGGCTCCTTATTAGTACTTTTCACAAAACCTCCTAAAATCGTTTTTCTAATGGAAGTACAGCTTCCGTTTTTTGGGTATAATGAACCCTTTAATTCCAAAAATTTGAATAACAGATATCAAACACTCCTTTTATTGGTCCTTTAAGCAAATTAATTTCCAGTGACTTCAATTTTTCATCATCCCACATTCATATTTTCTTTCCTGGTAAATTCTTCTAGAGGATATAAAGTTTTTGTTATTTCATTTCACATCCTTCATAAATCCACAAAAATTATTAAAGGATGTAAAAATGACTTTTTATTGGTTAATTTCCAATGCCTTGAAATTTTTTTCATCAACTCCACAATTCCTCTTTTTTTCTTTCTTTTTCAATTTAGAACACTTTGTATATTTTTGATGGTATGAGTATTTCGGTGTGTCCTTTTAAGCCAATTACCCACTTCTGGAGCTATGGAAACCACTTTTACTTTTTTACTTCACTTTGTTTGAAAATAATTTTTTTTTCACAATGCACTTTGACGACAGAATAAAGCCACTGAATGGATGGGCTGATCCAATTTTTCTTTTCGTTTTTTCACATTTCAAAAATGAAATCACATCAAATGTTTGTTCACGTGTCCCTGAGAGATTTTCCAAGAGTCCATATAAAGCATTTTGAATGGATGCCAATTTTTTTTTAACAAGGAAAAAGTGTTTATATATTTCGATTTGAATTGAACATTTTATAAAAAACGGAACACATTTGGTTTTTAAGTTAATTTTCTTTAAATTTTGTTAAAGGGGGGAGGGGGAACATCCAACATAAAAGGATATCCCATTTTTCCGAATATTTTTATGCTTGTATATATTTCTATATGATGTCGTGTTTGTGTGTGTATATATATTTGTGTGTGTGCATGCCCTTTTGCCTGGGTATTGGTGTCTTATGTACACTTATGTAATGTTTGTATATGAGAAAGAAAAAAATCACAAATTTTTTCTTCACTCAGGACACTGGATTTAGAAATTTTCCTTCATTTTAATTCACAAGAAATTTAATTGAAAAAGTTGTATTCTTTTATTTTTTTCATCGAGGGGCCAGGCAAATGCAAGCAAATAGCATAGGCGTAGGCTATAACAAGCAATTCTATGGAATTTCTACACAATTTCAAGGTACTTTTCGTCAAGAAATAGAGGTTTTATGAATACCAAAAGAGATTTCAAACTTTTCTAACACTTTTCTTGCTGGCAGTTTCCTTTTTGGCCATTGATTGATTGTTCTTCACATGAAGAACACGATTTACCCGTTTTGAAAATTAGCACAAAAACCAAGTATTTTTTAATACCGAAAAAAAATTTTCACCGTTCCGTTTTTTTTTTTCGTTCACTTGCGATTCTTACGTATCGATTTGGACGACGTTGTCGTCGTTGTTGATGAAAATTGCCTGGTTTTCTGTCTGAGTAGTGTTCTGCTGCTGCTTCTTCTTCTTCTGCTTGGTAAATTTGAAACTGGAATAACCACCAACCAACTATTGTTTCAGAGAAAAATTCCCCAAAAAAAAGAAACGACAAAAAATGCGTGAGTGTAACTTTCCAATATTGTTGTTTTAGTTGCGGGTATTTATGTTCTCCCTTATTTTGGGGGGTGTAGACCGGGGGGTGGTTTTGCAAGGATAACGTAAATGTTTTCATTCATAAATGACATTTGTGACTTTTTGTCCAACTGGAAAGAGCCAGTGTTGTATTTACCGCTCCTGCGCTATATAAAACACCCCCACAATTCCGAAACACCTTGCATACTGCACCGTTACTTTTTTAGCACATTTTGAAAATGCATTTCGATTTTCAATTTTCAACTACTCGCGCTCTCTTCAAGGTTGTGTCACTAACTTTACTCACGTTATTTGGGTTTTTCAACTATGTCATGTCCGCAATTGTTGATAAGATTATTAAAGAAAGCTCTTAATAGTTGAGTATCGTTCCACAGTCAAAAGGCAGCGAACAAAGTATGTACACATTTCTATTCGATCAAATACTCTACTAAATTATTGCTATGGACATTGATTTGTTGTCTCTAGTTTTCGAAATTGTTGTTTGTGTACCAGATATGTTTTAACTTTTTTTATCAGTTCGTACGGCAAGGGGGTTTCACTCAATTGATATTTTATTGAGTAGATTGGAGGGCAGAGTAAGCATTCTGCTATCAATAGTTTCTTTTTTGACTCTAACATTGATCAAAATGTTCAGAATGTGGAGGTCTCTTTTATACAAACATGTTAACTAACAGAGAAACATATACGAGGATCGTTTTTATTTTTTTGTAGAGATCCATTTTTTGTAGAGATTGAATTAATTTTGAAAGCTTCTTCCAAGCTTTATCATCCCAAAGAAGGTTAGGCTAGGTTACAGGATGCGCAGTACCCCTAGAGTCGGCAGCTGCTTCATTTGGAGACCCTTGGTCCATTGTGTTCATCCTTGGAAGAATTAGCTGTAATAAAAAGTATATACATTGGAAAAGAAATGAGGGTTCAAAATATCTACTACAACTTTTTCACATGTAATTCAAAATATTTTATTTGAAATTGGAAAATTCCTTTTGTAATTCGTGACGTAATTCAAGAATTTCATTTTTTTACTATACCCTACACCACACAGTGGTAGAGATATTATGTCTTTGTACATTTCTTTGTAACATGGAGAAATAATCCAGATATACTCATAGTTACTTTTTAGGATCTTTATATAATCAATTTCTGAGTCGATTTATGCATGTCGTCCGTCTCTCTCCATGTTTGGTTACGTTTGGTTCATCCCACAGCGCCAGTTCTGCTTACCAAAAGTGGCCCACTGGGCACATTATATAACAACCACACCTTCATACCAAGAAAGGTGTGGTTCTTACCCATTTAAAGTTTGAGAATAGGTTAAGGTCGTTTCGACCCTAAGGCCTCTAATCATTCGCTTTACCAGATAAAATTATTTTACATGTATTTTTGTGAACAACATGCAGGTCGCATTTATTATCCGATTGAATTGAAATTCTGCATTTTTTTGTTTGGTCCATGGCCGTACCCTGTTCAAAAATTGTCGAGATTCGTTTCAAATTTACATATAGCTCTCATATATATCTTCAACCGATTTCGAGTTAATTCCGCACCAATTGGCCAATATCAATCCAAGTTATCTGCATTTTGACACATCCGACCGGATCCAGTCTAGAAGCAAGTACATCAAATTTTGAGGAAATCAATTCAGATATAGCTATAGCTCCCATATACATGTTTCATCCGATTTAGGGTTTAAAGTCCTTCAAAAGCGTAATATGCACTCGACGACAATGATCTTTGGTACAAGATATCAGAGACAGCTCGGAAATAAGTGTTTCAAATTTTGTCAAGATTGGTTCAGATTTGGATATAGCTCCCATATACATCTTCAACCGATTTCGGGGTTATTGTGCACCAAATGGCTAATATCAGCTCAAATGTACTGAATTTTAGCAGTTCCGACTGAATTCATCCGAAGCTACAAATATAGCTAGAGCTCCCCTATACTGCACAATAAACTGCAATAAAGTCAAACACCATAATTTTTACATTTTTTGTTAAACTTTGTTGAATGAAAGCAAAAAAGGTCGGAACTAGCATCAAATTTTAGAATAAGTTTAGATTTGTTTGTTAGAATTTGGTCACCTTTTGGCACAAATTTTTTGCCTTCAAACGGCCAATGAAACCGTCACACGCTGTCCGAATGTTGCTCTGCGGCAATTTGGCCCATTCCCTACGAAGCACTTGCTTGAGGTGATCGACACTTTGGTATTTTTTAGTGCCAACATTGCTGTCCAAAATACTCCAGACACAATAGTCCAACGGATTGGTATCAGGAGATTTTGGTGGTCATTGTGCGCTGGAAATGAAGCGAGGGACCTCATTATGTAACCATTCTTGGGTAGCGCATGCTGAGTGCGTTAGTGCTGAGTCCTGTTGGAATGTCCTAGGTTGCGGACAAAAAGTTTGTGTGGCCAAGGCTTTAATACATCCTCAAGAATATTTTCGCGATAATATTCGGCATTTATTTTGATGCCACGGTCGATTAATACGAGCGGAGAGCGACCATCAGCTGTTATGGCGGCCCACACCATCACCATAGCCGGCGCTGGAGTTCTGGTTGGAACCTTATTTTGTAACCATTCTTGGGTAGCACGTGCTGAGTGCGATGGTGCTGAATTGGTGCCTGTTGGAATGTCCAAGGTCTGCGGCCAAAAAGTGTTGTGTGCCCACGGCTTTAATACACCCTCCAGAATATTTTCACGATAAGATTCAGCATTTATTCTGATGTCACGGTCCACACCATCACCATGGCCGGCACTTGAGTTCTGGTGGCCAACTGAAGGTGCACATTTTCAGCTGACCTCTTTGGCAAGTAAACACAATCATTTTGTTTGTTTACAAACTGTTGGACAACGAATGTTTTCTCATTGGATAAAACCGAATTCGGCAGTTCACCACTTTCGGCCAATTGAAGCAATTCTTTAGCTCTTTTGAGTCTATTTTCTTTCTGTTCGGCGTTAGTTCTTGCACTTGTTGGAATTTCAATGGCTTTACCCCGAGCTCATTTTTCAATATTTGCCGAATGGAATATTGCTATATGTTCAGCTCACGAGCCATTTTTCGGCCACTGCGTCGCTTCTTTACTTATCGAACCATTTCTGCTGATGTTGCTGTATTCTTCCGTCCACTTCCTTGACGTTGGGCTACGCTACCTGTATCACGGTAAAGGACGATGGTACGAGACACAAACGATTTATTCACATTTAAATGCTGGAGTGCTCTAATGATGGCCACTTGTGGTTTTCCAACCAAATATAAAGAAAATACACTATCACGCAAGAATTCCATCACGACTACATTTTTTTCTGGAGAATTATCACCAAAACGCTTTTGTACGCTTGTAAACAATACAATCAGCTGTCACTGGAATAATTTTAACAACTGTCGGACGAGTGGCTTAGAAATGGCAGCAGTCTGAAGTTGTTTGCAGTTTTTCATCTCACCCTGCATATGTTTCATCCGATTTTGTTTTAAAGTCCCTCACATGCGTTATATGCTCTCCACAACAATGATATTTGCTACCGGGCATCAGATACTGCTCAAAAATACCTCTGCCAAATGTTATCGTGAACGGTTCAGATTTGTTTATACCTTCGATATACATCTTCATCCGATTTTATGGTTATTGCTCACCCTATAAGGCCGAAATTGATAGATAAATACCCACAGTGGTGTAGGGTATCATATAGTCGGCCCCGCCCGATTTTTGATCTTTCTTTACTGGTTTTTAATTTGAATTATTTCCATATATTATTCAAGTGAAATTATTCGTATTTCAATTGGAATAATTCGATTAAAATATAGAAAAAGTTGATCAAATTTCTAAATCCACTTACCTTTCTAAGGTCTTCATTAGAAGGGAAGAGAGGCTAATGATTCAGGATACTACAAGCCGTTATTATCATTAACATATTCATATTGTTTTTATCTTAAAAAAAATGAATTTCATTATTTATTAATTGCAATTGTTCAATCAATATGAATAGAAAAATTAACAAACGTAAACTCTATCTACTATAACAAACAAAATAATAAGGCAGTTTGGTAGCTACTACTTACAACTAAGCTCAATAACACTACAACAATAATAGTTTATAAGGTTTAACATAAACTTTGGCAGCAGTTCCATTTTTTGTTTTCAAATGGTAGGGCTGAGATGATTCGTCGAAGAAAGCTTCGATTTTAGAATTCAACTTGATTTGGGACACCATTTCATGTGGCAGTACAATATAGAATACTTCAACAGTATTTGAACATTGCTGCTGATCTTCAATACTCTCATCATCAATTTGCACCCGTGCAAAGTGGACATTATGCTGGGATTCTACCTTCAGTACACGTAATACGGTGCCAATTCTCAGGCCAAACTTTTTATCATGCTTAAAGTAGCGGGCATCTGTTTTAGCTTTAGTTAGCGAACGTCTGTACAGTTCCACATAACCACCGGGTAGACATTTTTTCGACGACTTTCTTGGTGATTTTTTGGGGGAATTCTTTTTCATCGCATTTTCCTTTTCAATCAATTCAATCATAAGATCCAATTCGGTGGGTCGTTTACGTGGTGATGGTGTACCCGAGGGTGTGCTAATCACCTGTGATTTAATTGGAGAGCTACAATCAAATGATCTATCGTTTGGAAGGCTATTGAATGGTTCTTCATCGGACATATTTAAATCATTATTTATTGCCTTTGATGTCTGGGATCTGGTCCTACGCTTGCTGCCCGTAATCGTTTTTCGTTTACGTGGCGTAGATCTCTTCTTTGGCGAAGAAATTTTATTAATACTTATATCCAGCGGTCTATATCTGGAAAGTATTTCCTTTCTCGAACGTTTCGATGAACTCAAGCCACTCAAACTTAACGACGACTTTTTCCTTCTAATTGAATTTTGGGAGCCATCTTCTCCATCGGACTCCAAAGAAGATTCATCGGATGACATTTTTGTTCGCAAACGTGGCGTTATGCTATTAACACTGGACACTATAGATGAACTTGAACAAGGCAGAGATAATTGTATCTCTTCACTGGGTTGTGTTAGGGGCTCCTGTTTTATTACAATGGGTCTTGGCATCAAGCCATCATCATCACTATCCTCATCCGGTGGTGTACACATAATCTCGCCTCCACGTATCCATCTGGGAATATTCTTGGCAACTTCTGGTTGCGGCTGTTTTGGCGTTGAGGAACTAAGGTTTTGTAAATTCCGTCGTACCTTTGTCAACGTCAGAGGTATTTCAAAAGATCGTCTCAGCTGGGCAAAGGAGTGTTTTCGTGGTGATAAGTTTTCATCTTCACTGAAACACTCAATGGGCTCATCAGGTTCAGTTGTGAACGATGTGTTTAGCCGCATCTTTGTTTTTCCCGTTTGTCTGCCCGCTCTCTTGCCCTTTTTCGGCACATCCCTGGGTATATTATATTCCTTGAATATATTTCTACAAACTGGACGCATTCTTACTCTCTTTTTTGATAACAAAAATGAATTATTTAGAAATCCATGGATGCTTTTCCCCTTCCTTAGAATTATAAATAGAAAACAACAACAAACAGCATAGGGCTCTAGACGATCAAAATAGTCATTCATGTGAATAAGGAATGAAGGGTTATTTAGATCGACTTAAGGAATAATACAAACAAACTTCCGTTTTATCATTCATTTTGTAAAAAACAATAAAGCCACACTATTAAAAGTCGCTCCAAGAGAATTTTTTTTACGCATTGTTCAAAACACCCGTTAATGCATTTGCTATGAACTTCAGAAACGTTTTTATACTATTAAAGATTAACGTATCGGGCTAACAGATCAAGTGGGTAAAGTTACAAACTGTGCTGTCAAAAATTCTTCCCCTTAACATTGCAAAAAATTTATTAATTATAAATTCTAAAAATATATATATTCTTTATAAATATCCAGCATAATGTTAAAAATAAAAGGTTTAGGACACTGTCATAGATTTTAGTGGCATATTTACCATATCACATGTAGCCTTAAAGGTTATGAATATACTCATGGTACAATGGAATAAAGATAACCTCATTTCAAATTAGCATTCCCAGCTCTGTATTTGTAATTTACCTCAAATGTCAATGCATCTATGATTTTGTGTATATATATATTCATGGTACAATAAAAAGGTAAGGTAGAGCTAACAGCTGATTACAATTTGTTTCTAAGTGTGCCCGATATCTGCCAAATTTGTGTATGTATTTATTGTTTTGAAAAATGAAAACGAAATATTTTCAAAACCAAAGACACGTACATTGCGGCATTAAACCTATTAACCAGTTTAGCCATGAAATTGAAAGAACTGTTCAGATCATGTTTTTGAGAGAAATTCCAGCATTTCATTCATTTTTTTCAATTAGAACAAATATTAAAAAAAAGAAAAAAACAGTTGTATATAATTTTGAATGAATTTTGAATTTGGCAGTTAAAAAAAAACGCAAATATCCTGAAAGTTACAAAACAAAACTACTTTTTAAGTCCTATCATGGTAGAAGAATATAGGTAGATGCGTCAACGCTTGCGAACATTGATATGTCAAAATTTTAAAATTGTTTTGTCAAAAATAAGTAGATTTTTATATATTTTCTTATACGATGCAAATCGGAGGTTGTTACAATATGCAATTCTCAACAATTTTTACAAATTTTAATAATTTTTCATTCAACATTTTCAATTCCAAAATCGGTTTGACAGTTCATTGTCCCAGCAGCTGTGTCGAAGCGACTACCTGTATTCTTCTACCATGAGTCCTATAAACAACGAAAATATTTTCATAAAACCGTTTATTTAAATTGTCAAAAGAATTTGCGCCAAAAAATTACACATCTTCATAAAACGTGTAATTTACGTAGCCCCTTTTTATTTGACATTTCCTCTTTTTATACACGTTTTCATTAGGAATTTTCTTAAAACATACATTGGCAGCATATTAAAAATTTCTCTGTGTGGTGAAATGATTAAATTTTATAGATACTTTATATTCCGTATAAATGCCGCCGCCAAATTGACGTTTTACCGCCGACGCTATCATTGTACTTCTACCACCAAATTCCCACACAATCTGGCAACACCAATTAGCTCTACAGGTGTTGTGTTTATGCTCGAACAGCTGATCAGCTTGTATTGAATCTAGTTCGAGTGAGGTATTTTGAGCCATTGAAGAGTTTTGAAACGAAATAGTGAATTAAGTTTCACGTTACAGGTGTTTGCGAGAGCGCGTGTGGTGTTGTAGTGCCTCATAGAAATACGAAAAAATTGAATTGTGTTGCAAAGAATTAAATCAGAAACGATTACATAGTCTGTTACATTAGTATTGCAAAACATAAAAAGAAAATAACAACAAAATGCAATCGAGTAGAATTTTGGTGTCCAATTGGAGAAAATCCATTCAAGTGCATGTGAATAAAAGAAATTTGGCAGTCAATGGGCATTTGAATGGCATAAGTCCTGGTGTATTGGTGACAAACAAAACTTTCACTTTCGATCGACCACAACAGCAACAAACACAGAAACGTTGGTCAACAACTACAAGTGCTGCAATTAACGCCAGCAACAACAACAATGGTGTTGGAGTAAACGAAAAATTAGCCGTAAAACCATCTCCACCAAAACATGACTGGGATCGTGCCGTTAGTGAGGCGGAACGCATTGTGGGCTATCCCACATCCTTTTTGAGTTTACGTTGGCTACTCAGCGATGAAATAGCTAATGTGGCATTGTATTTGCGTAAACTAGTTGGTAGCAGTCATCCTCTGTTAAAGACAGCCAAGTAAGTTGGACAGGTTTTGTGGGTAAAATACTACATGTGTGTATGCATGGAGATTGAGAGATGTGCGTTCATATGTCCGACATGAATGAACACACACGCACACACATGAAGTGTGGTGATGAGCATGATTGCGACATTCGTTTTGTGTGTGAATGGAATGTAAATGCGCCGCTTTTAAACCATTGTTTACACACAACGTCTTGGCTTTTTTTTATTTATTTATTGTTGTTTTTTTTTATTATTTATATAATGTATATGTGAGCTAGACTCCGTGGTATGAAGGTGGTTTAAAACTGGTAACAACACGATTGGTAATTTAACAATATTTTTATGGGCTTGGTCGAGATGAGATTTAAGTGAAAAGTTTTCAAGTTAATTGAGGTTTCCGGGAGCAGATTGATGTGCATGCTTATCAAGGACATCGTATCAAATTTTGTCAGATAAATTTTGTCACCAAGCCACTACAAAAAGTAGATTTTTAGCATTTAAAGCTTTATCCTTAGCTAATAGGAATGTTGATTCTCAATCTAAGTCAAGCTTAATATACGTACGCATCCAGTCGCACAGTATATCCCAAATCGAAAAGGACACCGACTTAGAATTGAGAATTTCTTTTCAAATACAGGAAAATTAATAGGGATGTTTTAAAATGTTGTTCCTTATCCTTGACCTGGCAGTGTTTTTGGGAAATACGAGCCAACATCTCAACGGGAATAGATTGCTCTCCCATAAGTTATCACAAAAGTAAGAAAAAAATCATCAATCCAACCATATTTTTTGTGGCAATGTCTTCAGATGCAATGCAATGTTATAAACTAGCCCCATTGCCGAGTGCAATTTCGAAATCATAATCTTGTAAAACAAATCTATTGATTCCACATTAACTAATACAAACATATGCTGTATGTGTATGAATGATTTTCAAGCTTGCTTAATCAATGTACCTATTCAATAAATTTTGTCAAGGTTTATGATCTCTTTGTCGGTAAAGCCTTTAATTTTCAAAGTGATTTTTAATTTTATGGGAATTTTGAATTTTCTTCAAGTTAGCTTGAAGATAAAGGAATTTCGGTACGGAATGTTTAATTTATTAATTTCAATTGACATGGGTGTACAGGGTGAGATAAAAAACTGCAAAAGCCAAAAGCCATAATTTTTAAATTTTATTGAATGAATTTTTTTCGGAAATAGCATCAAATTTTAGAATAAGTTTAGATTTGTTCGAATTGGTCACCTTTGACACGAATTATGGCCTTCAAACGACCAATGAAACCGTCACACGCTGCCCGATTTTTTTTTAATGTTATTGAATGAAACCAAAAATTATCCGATATAGCATCAAATTTTAGAATAAGTTTATCTTTGTTCGAATTGGTCACCTTTGGCACGACCGTCACACACTGCCCGAATGTTGCTCTGCAGTATTTTGACACATTTCCGGCGAAGAGCTTGCTTAAGGTAATCGACACTTTGGTATTTTTTAGTGCCAACCTTGCTTTCCAAAATTCTCCAGACACATTAGTCCAACGGATTGGTATCCGGAAATTTTGGTTGCCGTTGTGTGCTGGAAATGAAGCGAGGAACCTCATTTTGTGACAATTCTTGGGTGTGCGCGTACTGAGTGCGACGGTGCTGAGTCCTGAGTCTGCAGCCAAAATGTTTGCGTGCCCAAGGCTTTAATACACTCTCCAAATTTTTTTCGCGATAATATTCGGCATTTATTCTGATGCCACGGTCGATTAATACGAGCAGAGAGCGTCCATCGGCTGTTATGGCGGCCCAGACCATCACCATGGCCGGCGCTTGAGTTCTAGTGGCCAACCGAAGGTGCACATTTTCAGCTGACCTCTTTGGCAAGTAATCACGATCATTTTGTTAGTTTACAAACTGCTAGACAACGAATGTTTCCTCATCGGAGAAAACCAAATTCGGCAATTCACCACTTTAGGCCAAGCGAAGCAACTCTTTAGCTCTTTTGAGTCTATTTTCTTTCAGCTGCGTTGTAAGTTCTTGCACTTTTTGGAATTTCAATGGCTTTACCACGAGCTCATTTTTCAATCAATAATGGAATATTGCGATATGTTCAACTCACGAGCCATTTTTCGCCCACTGCGGGTTTCGATCAAGTCGCTTCTTTACTTTTCGAACAGTTTCTACTGATGTTGCTGTTTTTCCGTCCACTTCCTTGAGGTCAGGCTACGCTACCAGTTGAAAACGGCAGTATCACGGTAACGAGTGATACCGCCAGTATCATGGTAACGAGCAATGGTACGAGACACACAAGATTTATTCACATTTAAATGCTGAAATCCTCTAACGGTAGCCACTTGTGGTTTTCCAGTCAAATATAAAGAAATCACACTATCACGCTTGTATTCCATCACGAAAAACTCTTTTTCTGGAAAATTCTCAGCAAAATGCTTTTGTACGCTTGTAAACAATATAATGAGTTGACACTGGAATAATTTTAACAGCTGTCGGAGGAGTGGCTTAGAAATGACAGCAATCTGAAGTTTTTTCAGTTTTTTCATCTCACCCTGTATACATAGTCAAAAACCATAGGATTTCTTAATTGTTTTTACAAATGCACTTTTGTGTAATTACTTTAGTGCAACCTTGCTAAAATGTTTTCATACAATTAATTTATTTGTGTTATGTGTTGAAACTTATTCGACCTTGACTTTAACACCATACAAAACAAATTGCTATGGTTCTTGCGAACGAGCACTAGCATGAACTACACAAATTAACTTCGTCTTAAATGGCCACAGATTTTTTTTTTTAAATTTGAACCACAAAAAACCTTTTGGGTTTTGTATTTTTAGCTAAAAACATATTTTCGTAATATTTTATTTGTTCTTTTAAAAATCAGAAATTTTATATTTTTTTATAATTTTCTTCCCCAGGGGTCTTTTATACAATGGCAAAAATACCATGCAGGCCTGGGGCCTAATTGTGCTGCTCATATCCAAGGCGGCTGGTCATGCGCCATCTGTACCCGATATGGAACAAGATAAAAGTGCTGGAGTTTTACACAGCCAAAGGGGACTAGTCGAGGTTACGGAAATGATACGTATCTCTCATTTGATACACAATGTGAGTACTGCTACAAATCAAAGGAAACTCAAATTAATCTAAGTTCTATTCTCTCTGATTTTTTTAGAGTTTAGTCAACCTGCAACGCTCCACCAAGGCCAGTCAGGACAGTGCCTCATACGATGACATGACATTTGGCAATAAAATCGGCCTGTTGATTGGCGACTATTTACTAAGTCATTCCAGTGCAGAAATGGCCAATTTGAGAAATCAAGTTGTTGTCGAAATGATTTCCTCAACTGTGCGTGACTTTTCCGAATCGGAATTTATTGGTGAACGAGATGAACAAAATAACCCGCTGCCCTCGAGACCGGGCACTAAGCCACTGCAGCAAACTAGCAAGGCAATTAGTACAACAGACATTGATTTTTGTCGCGAAGATGTTTTGAAGCCCATGAACATATACAAATATTTGGGTGATCCCGAAAAGGAATGGGAGGCTAGAAATATTTTAAATGTGGGCAGTCTTTTGGGTAAATCTTGTTCGGCATCTCTGCTGCTGGCCCAACAAAGTGAAGAACTGCAAAAGAAGGCGTATTTATTTGGCAAACATTTGTCATTGGCATGGCAGGCGTGTATTGATGCGGAACCATTTCAACTGTCATCACTGCCGTATGGTGGGTATTTGTATAAAGTTAACATATCTGACCATTGAAGTAAAGTTATAGTTAGAGATTTTTCAGGCAGCCTTAAAATTATACCGGTAACAATACGGGCAAAAATTCAAAGTTTTCAAATTTAGCCTACTTTAAGTTATGAATGGAACCCCACGTTATATAGCGGTATCGACCAATCTTCAACAAAATTGTTTGTTTTAAGGGTCTTAGCCGCATTTATCTATAGAGTGTCAATTACGTGAAGAAGATCCGTATTCTATATATCAATCGTTGCTGAGCTATGAGGCTGGATTTCTGTTCTGTGAAAGTATGAAATAACAAGTAAAAAAGCAGCTAAGTACGGCCGGGACGAACTTTTTATACCCTTAAAAATTCGGAAGTAACTTGAAAATTAAAAAAAAACAAAATCGGGCGAAAAATGCCGCTTAAATGAAAAACTTTATATGGAACCTATACAAAAATGTGGTGCTGCATAAGTAATTTTTTCTCATGGGCTGTAGTAACGATTCCGAACTTAAAATATGAAATTTTAAACAGTTCTGGGGAATAATGTAGCTAAAACCATCAAAATACCGCATATAGGGAGGTAACCAAAACGTGGGCCGGCACGGACAATTTTCTGTCATAGGCTGTAGTATCTATTACGAACTTCAAATCCCAATTCGAAACAATTCCGGTAAATAATGTCGCTAAAATCATCAAAATATCGAAAATAGGGGGGTAACATTATATGAGCGCTATACGAACACGTGGACCTGCACAGACAATTTTCTGTCATAGGCTGTAGTACTTATTACGAACTTCAAATGCCAAATTTGAAACAATTCCGGTAAATAATGTCGCTAAAATCATCAAAATACCGAAAACAGGGAGGTACCATTATATGGGGGCTATACCAAAACGGGGACCTGCATGGAAAATTTTCTTTCTTAGGCTGTAGTATCTATTACGAACTTCAAATACCAAATTTCAAACAATTCCGGTGAATAATATCCCTAAAATCATCAAAATACAGAATATCAGGAGGTTCCGTTATATGGGGGCTATACGAAGACGTGTACCTGCACAGACAATTTTCTGTCATAAGCTGTAGTATCAATTACGAACTTCAAATACCAAATTTGAAACAATTCCGGTGAATAATGTCGCTAAAATCATCAAAATACCGAATATCAGGAGGTGCCGTTATAGAGGGGCTATACGAAGGCGTGGAGCTGCACAGGCAATTTTCCGTCATAGGCTGTAGTATCCATTATGAACTTCAAATACCAAATTTGAAACATTTCCGGTGACCAATGTCGCTTAAATCACCGAATATCGGGAGGTTCCGTTATATGGGGGCAATACCAAAACGTAGACCTACATGGCCCGTTTTCAATACCAGAAGTCCTGCAGATATAATATACATTTGAGAAAAAATTTATCAACCTACTTTATTTCTGGGCCTATCCCTAAATCCATGCAAAATTTTGTGTGAAAACTTATAATACCATCAACGCAATGTTCTAGGGATTTCATAGATCAGTAATTAAGTCCTTGTTTATTTTTTTATGTATCCTTATATCTACTATTTTATATGGCCTTATATTTATTTACCCTTCCAAATTATTATCCAATTTTAAAACTTCTTTTCATTTCCCTCTCTAGACACCACATTCAGCTTAGTCAGCGCTCCCGTACTGTTCCACCTGGAACATGATCCCAAACTCTATGACGAAATAGAAAAGGGCAAAGTTTGTGTGGATAATGTCGACTACAATAAAATACATAAAGCCATTCTACAAGGTCCTGGTCTGGAGAAAACCAAACAATTGCAACGAAAACACACAACGGCAGCTTTAAAAGTATTGGAAAGTTTTCCAAACAACGATGCCCGCAAAGCATTGGAGAACATAATTCTAGCTATGCAGGATTTATAAAATCTAAGACAAAAAATCACTAGTTTTAAGCCATAATTTATATACATAATTGTAATTGTTTTACATATTTTTAACTAAATGAAATTTATTTAATTGTTGCTATTTTGTAATTGTAACTAAATTTTATAATAAACAAAAATAAAAAAACATAATTTATTTATACCACTTTTCTAATAATAACACATTTTAAGATTTTGTAATTTGCAACAAAACTAAATGCTTACAGCGTTCATATTTGAAATACTGAGGAAAATCTGTTTCGACATATTTGAATTTCCAAGGTTTGTGCAAGGTCTGTTTGAGAAAATATTCAAACATTGGCGCTACAGCATCCATTTCAGAGAATGTAAAAACGTAACGTTTTTCCAAGGCCACATATATTTCTTTCCGTCTCCCGCTCGTTTCTTCGCGTTGGAAAATGGCATCGATTACCTTGATGAAGGCATTGGTTAAATCGTCATCATAAATAACATCTGCCGCCACCACAATGTCACTCTCATCAATGGCCTTCAGTAATTGTTGTGGATATTCACTCAATGGCTTCATAAAATCATATTCCATGACATCTATTTTTCGGGTATCACACAAATTATGGTTCAGCTTAACATTGTTTCTAATCAAATCCAAGATACCCCCAATATCCACATCTGTGCATACCACTTTTTTCACATACATTGCTGCAGCCAGGCTTGTCAAACCCACGCCTGCCCCCAATTCCATTAGACTTTTATCTTTGAATTCATCACTTCTATGGAAGATATAATCGGCCAACAATAAGGCACCTCTCCACACCTGCAGTCCCACTAGCTTAATTTCAGTTGCCTCCGAGTGTTGTAATTCAATGATTCCACACTTCTCAGCATCACTGCTATTGCTTTTCCTCGCCACAATCAAGTCACCATCTTTGTCCACAATTGGCGCTGCAACTCCTCCATCGGGGTAAACAAATTCAAATCTAGATGTCACTTTACCATCCTTACCCTTGATGGGTTTGAAATTTGTTTCCTTATATATTTCTGAGGTTACTGTATACATGTTCCTGAACTTGAACTTGGAATGAGGAACTTTATGTAACAAATGCGCGTATGTTTTTGTTTATTAAACATTTTACATATAGTTTAAAAACAGAGCAAGAAAAGAATATATATGAACAAGTGTTGTTGTTTTGCATTAGTTAAGGGTGGTTCACTTAATGGATAAGAGAAACTAGTTCAGTCAAAGTTATTATTTTTTCACGTTATGTTTACATAGGGCATGATAAAGGGCTTCCATGCAAAGCTATTGCCAAAACATGGTAGAGAATCTCTCATTTAAAATGTTGAATGCCAAAAATGTCTTGACAGTTCAATATAACATTTGATGCGTTGAGGCATGGTAGAAAAATACAGGTAGTTGTGAAATCTTTGAATGAAAAATTATTGAAATTTGTAAAATCTTTTGAAAAATCATATCATAACAACCACCGATATCTGTCGTATAAGAAAATATGTAAAAATCTACATTCAACAGCATTTTACAATCTTTGATATATCGATGTTCCCAAGCGTTGATGAACCTGCCTTTATTATTCTACCATGCATTGTGGCGACTTGTATTATTTTGCCATGTGCCAAAAAACAATTACCCTGCGTTAGGAAGGGACATGACAATTGACAATCTGTCAAAACAACAAATTCTCTCTGCAGGCCAATAGTAAAAGCACAAGTAAAATCACAATTTATTTTATTTGCTTTATGTATTTTTTCTAAGAATGAATGTTTTGTCGTTTATTTAACAAAAAACGTGTGAGTTTGTGGAAATGTTGACATCATAATGCAGGGCTATTTCTTCATAATTTTAACAAACTGATACTACTTTGTATTCACAGACCTATTAAAACACATAAGGCCGAATTTTTTACTCTAAAAACACCTTTATCATTTTCAAAAATTTTGAAATTATTTCCACAATTATTAACCATGGTAAAATTGAGAAGGTAAAGTCATTTCAAATTCAAATACCCATCTCTGCATTTTATGATTTTACCTTGTCAAATTTTACTTTATAAAAACATGTTCCCATCTCTGATTTGTGTATATGCAATAGATTTATAAATATGAATTTTAACAATGAGTTGTTGTCAAATGAATAATTATGAAAAAATTGTAAACATATGATGCATTCACCTTCATAATTCTACCATGTTATTAACTAAGACGAGTAACACATTTTAATGTAAAATTAAATTATGAATTGAATTTTTTGTACATTTCTCAAATGTCTACTGACATAAGTTGTGATTCATCAAAAAAATCCGTTCGCACGCTCCAAAAAATTGCAAAATGTTCACATCTATTTAAACAAAAATTGCGCTCTCTTCTATTTACATTTTCTTTTCAGACCAATACGAACAAACAGGGAATAAGAATGACTTAAGCCGTTAAAAAAAGCGTTCTATGTATTCTCACGTTAAGAATGGATCATAATCTTCTTATGTATATGCAGATCGTTTAGTTTTTTTTATAAGAATCTTGTTTTCAAGGACAAATCCTATTTTTTGCCTAATGGGTGCGCAAATATAGAATATTATCAATTTTGGGGTGGAGATATAGCATTTTCAGATTAAATGAAACCTTTTGCAATTCAAACGAAACTTTTTGCAGCGGGAATGAAACCTTTTGCAGTGGAATTGAAACCTTTTGCAGTGGAAATGAAACCTTTTGCAGTGGAATTGAAACCGTTTGCAGCGGGAATGAAACCTTTTGCAACCGAAATGAAACCTTTTACAACCGAAATGAAACTTTTTGCAAATCAAATGAAACTTTTAGATTTTTAGAAGGAAAAATAACAAAACATTTTTATTTTTAGTATGTTTAAAATTAAATTAACTAATTATAACTAATATATAGTTAAAGAGGAATTTTTATTGATTATTAATATTTATGTTTTTATAAAATTTTTTCTTAAAGCTTTCATAATACACAAGTGTAGATGCAGAAAGATTGAAAAAAGTTTTTCAAGGTATTTTTTTCAAAGGACCCGAATTAGGTATCTTTTTATAATCTCTTCCATGGAAAGGAGGATATATTAAATTTGTCATTCGGTTTGTAACACCTCTTAATATTCGTCGTAGACCCCATGAAGTATATACAATCATGATCATAGTTGATTTAATGATTTCCACTTATCTGTCTTTTGAAATCACGACTGCTCTATCTCCATAATCAATAAAGCTGCGAAGCGGGAATCCTTTATTAGGTAAGATTAGTAGTATACTATAACTATAAAAAATTGTGGTAAAGCTTAATTTCACATTTCAGTCCTGGCCATACCTATAAAGGGCAAAATTTGTTTAAATTTCTCTTTTTAGCTTTAAGCATTTGGAATTTAATAATATGGAAGCATTTTATATCAAATCAATAAAGAACCATTTGTTATTACAATAATTGAAAATTTAAGAAATAATATAAATAAATGTAGATATTTATAATCAATAAAAAATCCTCTTTGTCAATATATTAGTAATATTATTATTAATTATTAATTGATTTTATGTAAAAACTACTAAAAATAAAAATATTTTGTTATTTTTCCTTCTATAAATTTGAAAGTTTCATTTGATTTGCAAAAAGTTTCATTTCGGTTGCAAATGGTTTCATTTCGGTTGCAAAAGGTTTCATTTCCGCTGCAAACGGTTTCATTTCCACTGCAAAAGGTTTCATTTCCACTGCAAAAGGTTTCAATTCCACTGCAAAAGGTTTCATTTCCGCTGCAAAAAGTTTCATTTGAATTGCAAAAGGTTTCATTTAATCTGAAAATGCTATATACCAGAAGCAGTGAAAAAGTTACCAATGTATCCAGAAAAAGGCACGTTTGGTGCGAGTTAGGCTGGAAATACATAAAGAGCATATTTGGCCGGCTTAAGTCTTCTGGCTTCTTCGTAGATGAACAAAGGAGTTTTAGGTTGACTTAGTTCGATTTTGGTCCTAGGCTCCTTTGTTCATTTCCGAAGAAGCCAGCCGATGACTAATGCCAGCCAGATTAGCGCTTTATGTATTTCCACCCTTATGGATTGGTGGCATCTTTTGACCGCACATCCTCAAAGATGCTACTGAATCTCTCTGTGAGTGTGAGAACAAAGAACACCCAACGAATAGAGAACCAATCACGTCCTATGTGAACATGGTATAACACTAATGCCTTGTCATGGCAGAAGAATATAGGTAGACGCGTCGACACAGCTGCTTGGACCATGAACTGTCAAACCAATTTTGGAATTGAAAATGTTGAATGAAAAATTATATAAATTTGCAAAAATTGTTGAAAAACACGGATTATAATAACCTCCGAATGATGTCTTATAAGAAAACATATAAAAATCTACTTATATTAAAAAAAAAAAAAAAAACATTTAAATTTTTTTGACATATAAATGCTCCCAAGCGTTGATGCATCTACCTGTATTCTTCTGCCATGTGCCTTGTCATGGTAGAAGAATACAGGTAGTCGCATCGACACAGCTGCTGGGACAATGAACTATCAAACCGATTTTGAAATTGAATTTTTAAATGATAATTAATTCAAATTTATAAAAATTGTTGAAAAATGCAGGGTTGGTCCCAACCCTGACACTTAAAAATTAAAAATATTGGACAAAAGGGTCAAGGTTGAGTGGGACGTTTGCATTTTTGTTTGTTTTGATGTTTGTAATATATTCCCGTTGTAACTGTTAGGCCACTTGGACTGTTGGTGTCAGGGTTGGGACCGACCCTAATCAAAAAAAATCTCCCCCTGAGCAGCTGGAAATCCACCAGAGTGCCACATAAGATGGTAACATACGACATTTCAATTGGAAAATATATGAGTAAACTACGTACGGCTTTACGACCACAACAGCCTATTTTCATCAAAAAAATATATGTTCTACAAAAGTGTTGTTTGCTTGTTGTGTGAAAGTATAATATAATATAAAAATTGCGGTAAAAATTCAACAATAGATATATTTTTATTTTATAAAATACAACATCTTAATGTGAACCCTCCTCTTTGAAAACACGCCTTTTCCCCATTTGGCCGTCCCGGCTAATGAAAGCCGCCGCCGCAGTTAAGAATTTTCTGTTAGCTTCATTCTCTGACATTCTGACATCGACATATTTTCGAGTTTGGACTAACAATTTGCAAAATATTTTTGCTTTCTTTCTAACAATTTAATATTTCTTTTTCTTTATTAATCAATTACACGTAAAAGGTGAGTAGTGCTTGGCAAAACTACAATGTCATCCAACGAAAGTGATGTGTAAATATAAATGCAAAAAAAAAAAAAATGAGGAGAATGGCAACAGAACAAGAAAAAAATGTGTGGTGTGGTCTGATGAAACGCCTTCGATGGTGCAATGTGTAAATAAGGATATTTCTATGGTTTGCCTGTGGCCAACAGGATATGAAAAGAAGACAACAATGAAAAGGCCACGTTTTCCGCCCAAATATGCATAAATTACATTAAATTAGAAATTGTGGCTGTAATGTTAAAAAAAATGCAACAAGTATGACAGATCGACTTTTATGGCCACAGTTTGACGTTTGTGATTCTCGCGTACAAAACAGAGAGTGTTTTGAGAGAGAGAGTCAGTGAGTGAGTGAGAACAACATTGAGTTGTCATTTTTGTTATGAGAGCAGATTACTTTCATTCGCCCCGCAGAGTATTGAAGTTTGCTGACCAAAACGTAGTAGAAGGAAAAAATCGTTAACCAATAAGACGCAACAGAAAATAAAAATTATATTTTAAAGTATTTTACACAAAAACACAAAGTTAAAAACCCTATGAAAATGTAATTGCAGATTTAGTTAATGCATATAACACGTAATCCGAACGTATAATATCACAAAAAGGTATAGAAATCAATAAAGATTGTGTGCGTGTACAGCAGAAGCAGCAGCAGCGATAGAGCAGCGGAGTGGTGATTGCTTGTGTTTTGCTATGTTGTGTGTTGGTGTACAAGTTACGGGCAATGAAGAAGAAAAAAACTCCCCTCAATACAGAAAAAAATCCAATGGGAGACATAGTAATGAAATGTTGTGGGCACTTCCGTGATGCATTCATTGTTGGATTTTTGCATTATGCCTGTGTGTCACTCCATTCATAATTTGTAACTACACTACACTGTGCTACTATGTTCTTGTAAAGCACTACACACACTTTTTTCCTCATCATCTCATATTTTTTTTACATTCAGGCGTCACGCAACAATAACATTTTGTTCTCCTTTTTCTATTTTTTTATCAAAATAAAAAAAAAAAAAAAAAATAGTGCGGCTGCCACAACTACGACGTCGAAGACGTAAACGAAAAAAACTACAAAATCACGGTCGAACATCATCACCATCAACATGTTTTGGGATAAAAACGATTCACCCTCACAAAATATTGAGGCATTGCTGGAGAGGGAGGTAAGTTGTACTAAACAATGTTGTTGTAAATTTCGATGAATAATCTCGGCTAATTAAACCACAATTATTATTTTTGTTACAGAATGCAACAGTGGAAGAGTTTTTGGATGAAGACGATATTATACAGGAATGCAAAACGCAAAAGAAAAGCATTGTCAACTAGTAAGTTTTGTTAGAATTTTGTTTTGATGTTGAGCGTATAATGACCGGATGACCCTTCATGGCGGATCATGTGTTATCTGTTAAAATGTTGAAGAAAACTTAGTTATTCTTTTGACCATTTCAAAGGCTGAACCGAATATGATAGAGTAGTTCACGTATTCTAAATGTTCCAAGCTGTACCACAAAAAATGGATTTTTAAGAACCTTCCCCATTAAGAGGGTTCATTTATACGTCATGTGTTATTTGTAAATATTGTCAAGTAGCTGTATTAAGTAGAATTGCTTTTTTTTTTATCAATAGAGTGCCCACCGGTCGTATTGCTATACCAACACGCCCTCAGTCTATACCATTTTTGTGAACATTTGAAAGACATTAGAGAATATGATAGTGTTATCTGCTGTTGCTCCAAAATTATTCTTTCTTTGAAGACATTTCTATGGAGTTATGATTTTCTTCAAATATACCTATAACACTTCTAAGGGTCAGAGTAAATAACTAAATCTTGTATAGGAAGATCAGGATAAGCTACATGCAGCAATAGAATTATGGTCGCACAATCTGAATCAAAGTATGGAATATTTAATATTAGACAACATTCAAGTTTGAAACGGCCCGATCATTGTGCTTTTTCATATATAAGTTGAATTGATGTGGTATTTAAAAATGTAAATTAGATATTTTTAATGTTCATTTTTATTTTTCATTTTTAGCTTTACTCGCCCCGATGTCATTAAACGTATGATCGAATTAATAACAACAGAACCTCCAGAAGATTTGCCTTTGGCTCAACGTTTTCGTCATGCCAATGTGGCGTGTGAAATTTTATTGCTGTAAGTATTTGTTTTTGAATTCCAAAAACTATATCGTATATTCATTGAAAACGTTTCCACTTTTGTTTAGCGGCCTACCGTCCTTAGATGAGAAACTGATCTCCGAAGAAGAGACATTAAAAATGCTATATTCATATCTGGAAAATGAACCACCGTTAAATCCCTTGCTAGCATCGTTTTTTAGCAAGACATTTAGCATGCTCTTTACCAAAAAGTCTGATCAAGATTGGTTTTTGTATCAACAATTGTGCCTAAAACTTTTGGAGTTTTTAAAAACGCAAAACAATTTTTTGGATTTGATATGCAAGCATTTCAGCACACCCGTCATACCCGATCTTATTATGGAGATGATGCGTAATGTTGAGGGTGCTCAATTAAAGAGGAGCTTGTATGAGGTGAGTTCGAAAGACAAAAAACAATTTGGAATTTAATGTGGAAACAACACCCGAGAATCAATTTTCAAATACAAAGTTGTGTAGACAGGATATTACAGAGTTAAAATATTGACAACAGGTGGGTTTACCTTTGCTGTTATGATATCATAATAACAACGATACCAATGTTAGGTGATTTTAATCCTAAAGGCTATATTGAATTTATTGATAGTCATGGAAATAAATTTCAGTTCAAGTTTATCAATGAACTCTTTTTCGAAAACGCAGCTGGTCTAGTCTTTACACTTTTATGTCTTTTCAATTTAATAATGAGTTCATATATCTCTTATTTTTTGTTTTTTTTTTTTTTGTCAAGTTTTTATCGTTTCTTTTAATACCCTCCACGATTCTATGGAGGGTATATTAGCTTCGTCATTCCGTTTGCAACTCCTCGAAATATTCATAATAGACCCTACAAAGTATACATACTCTGGATCAGTGTAAAATTCTAAGACGATCAAGCGGTTTCCGCCTGTCGGTCTGTCTGTCTGTCTGTTGTAATAACGCCATCTTTGAGATAGAAGGCTAAAATTTTGCATACATGCATAGTTTGCCAGTAGGCAGGTTAAGTTCGTAAATGGGCCAAGCCGGTCCACGTCTTTGTATAGCCCCCATATAACGATACCTCCAGATTTTCGGTATTTTCATTATTTTAGCGACATTATTTTGCGAAATTATTTCAATTTTCATATTTAAAGTTCGTAATGGGTACTACAACCTATGGCAAAATATTTCGTATGTATGTCCACGTCTTGGTATATCCCCCATATAACGGTACCTCCCGATATTTGGTATTTTCATGATTTTTGCGACATTATTTACCGAAATTATTTCAAATTTCATATTTAAAGTTCGTAACGGGTTCTACAGCATATGACAACAATTTATGTATACAGGTCCACGTTTGCTTGTAGCCCCATATGACAGTTCCTCCCGATACTCGGTATTTTCATGATTTTAGCGACATTATTTACCGGAATTATTTCAAATTTCGTATTTGAAGTTCGTAATGGGTACTACAACCTATGGCAAAAAATTTCGTATGTCGGTCCACGTCTTCGTATATCCCCCATAAGACGGTACCTTCCGATACACGGCATTTCCATGATTTTAGCGACATTATTTACCGAAATTATTTCAAATTTCATATTTAAAGTTCGTAATGGGTTCTACAGCATATGTCAAAAATTTGTGTATACAGCTCCACGTCTTCGTATGGCCCCCATATGACGGTACCTCCCGATACTCGGTATTTTCATGATTTTTGCGATATTATTTACCGGAATTGTAACAAATTTCGTATTTAAAGTTTGTATTGGGTACTATAGCTTATGCAGGTTCAAGTCTTCGTGTATCCCCCATATAACTGTACCTCCTGATATTCGATATTTTAATGATTTTATCGGTATTATTCACTAGAACTGTTTCAAATTTCGTACTTAAAGTTCGTAATGGGTACTACAGCCTATGTCAAAAAATGTCGTAAGTAGTTCCTTCCAAATAGGGGAAGGTATTAAATTGTTATTTGTATAATTGTTTTGTGGTACATATTTAATAATTCTATTTCATTCCCTTTGCAGTGGCTAAATGAAGAAAGACTGGTTGAGAAACTTATCGACATCATTGGTGATCCCGAACAATGTGAGAAGCATGCAAATGTTGCTGAATTCCTCTGTGATCTTATACAACAGGGACGCACCATGCGTCAAAGTGATCAAGAAAATGATAGTTTTGAACCGATTTTTGAAGGTTCCAATCCTATATTGAAAAATATCGAAAGTGCAACCACTTTATTTGCCTTGTTTAATGTGATCCTTCAACCAAATGCTCTTGAAAGTGCTATTGTATCTGGCATAACGGTTGTACTTAAAATTATTCGACGAGTAATAATGTAAGTAGACATATCCCCATAAATGTATTGAAACAATTCTTTTAAAATTGTCTTTTGTTTCTAGAGATGAACGTATAACAGACCGTTTGCACTTTTTACAAGATCGTGAAAAGGAAATTCACAATGAGTTATTATCGACTGTGATCCGTGTTATTGAACCTCAGCTTAAGCACTTCAATGAATTACTTAGAAACCCGCCAAAAGTATATATATTATACACCGAATTAATTCAAATTTCTTAACATTCATATTTTGTATTTTAGAAAGCCGATATTGTCATATCAGCCGGTGTACTATCGCCTCCCTTTGGTATGACACGCTTGCAAATTTGCCGTCTATTTACAGTATTACTGCAGACTAGTAATGAAGAGATTTGTAAAGCGTAAGTTCCCTCCCCCTGCACATACAAATCAGCGATATTTAATGCCAATTAACATTTTTATTTTCTAATTTTCCAGCATTTGTGAAACAGATTTCTTTGATATACTGTTAACATTATTCAGAGAATATCGCTGGAATAATTTCTTGCACACTGAAGTGGAAAAATGTCTTCATACAATTTTTTATAATTCCTCACCAAATAATGCCAATAACAATGCAACTCAACCGACTAGTAATAATAGTCCAAAAAATGCGGACATTAAATTCCTAGATGATTTTATGGAATCTTTAAAGACAAACGAACCGGAATTATCGAATGCCAGTAAAGAACACATAAGAACTCATGTAGGTTTAGAAAAATATAAGATCTTCAAAATTTTATACTAAATTGTGATTATTTAATTTTTTTACAGCTTATTGTTAATTGCCAAGTGGTTTCAAGGCTAATCGAGTGCTGGAAAATAAACAAAGAAATTGAGTAAGTTGATATGCAAGTCATTTCCTTTGCCGGGATGAAATCGTGGTATTGGCAGCGATCAGCAAAGCTTTCAGTTTTGTTTTGGAAAACATTGCTCTCTCTGTAGTAGAGAGTAATTTGAATTTAAGCCAATGGAGGAATACTATCAAACAAATAAATCATTTATTAATAATAATATTATTTTTCCCCCCTTTGTAGGTCTGCAGAAAAAGGTCGTCGCCTTGGTTATATGGGACATTTAATAAAAATCTTCAAACATATTACAAGCTGTATATCAGAATCGGAACATATCGGTGCCTTAATCGAAAATAATCTTAAAGATGATGCTGAACGTGAGCTATGGCAATCTATTGTAAATAGCACAGATGGTGAACTGACGCAAGCCTTGAAAACTCAAAGTAAACTATTGGCCAATTGTGAAGCCTGTGATTATGATATTTCCTTGGATTTCTTGACCGATAATGATTTTTCGGGTGCTTTGTAAGTTCACTTAGCTTCCTCAAACCAATTCCAATCCTCCAATTAAGTTCGTTCCCCTTTTCTTTTCTATATTTTCCAGTAATACCCAATGCGCCATTACGGATGCCATGGACACAGTAAGTAGTCTAGAAATATTGTGTGTTGTAATCTAGTGTCATTGGTGGTCTTTTATGTGGGACCAAACTCCATCGATTAATTTATCCTTAAATGCCGTTATAACTGTTTATTGAAGCCAGCATCCTAATTAATGACTATACTACTAATGCTTCCTACCTTTGTTGTTTTGTTATACCTTGTTATATCTTGGCAAAAAACTACCTTAACTCTGTTTCGACTGTTGTTGTTCTGAAATCTACTCGGAGGTATTGCTCCTTCCTTCTAATGTTTTGCTACACACCACTTTCCATTTCCATGTGTTTTGGTTACACGTTTGTTTCTTTTGTGTTCAATTTTTTGGAATTTCTAAGATCATTTGAAAACTTTCTCTATCTCTTTGGCCATACAAAAACAACAACAACAACAAAATCTGAAATTTTGCGTTTTCCCAAAACACAAATTGCCCAAAAAAAAAAAAACACTGAAAAGCAGGACTTTCTTTTTACACTTGATTACAATACCCAAAATGATTCTGATGACGACGATGATGATGGCGACGGCAATGATAGTGATGAAAATAGCGAGAACAGCCACGAAGAAGAACGCAACCATCATCAAGTCAAAAATGCTCTCAATTTGTTTCAGTTTGGTCGCAGCAATGATGATGACGAGGATGATGACGATGAGAATAACGCAGCTGGTGATGTGCTCTCCTTCGACGCCAATCCATTGTCAAAACTAAAATCATTTAGCGTGACCAGTAATCCATGGGACACGAACGATGATTTTGATGTCTTCAAGTCAGCCAGCAGTTCGATGACATGGGCTCCCGAGTGCACCACCAGTACGGCGGATAATTTTGCTGACTTTGATGCCCATTTTAGTTCCTTTTCCAATGATATGGGTGAAACGTTGGCAGGGACAATTTCATCGATGATAAATGACAACAATACGGCAGCTAATGATGTTGTTGTCAATTCAAGGTCAACGGAAGACAATACAAACACAGCGTCGTCGGCGACGGCGGCGGCGACAACATCTGAGGAATATGATAACAATGCAAATGTAGAGAAATTATCATGGTCCGGGGAACTGTTATCATTCCACTCGAGGCAATCGTTTATCGATGATTATGAAGATGATGAAGGAATGTGGACAAAGCCATTGGGTGCATCGGCATTGAACAATGCAGAAAATGAGCCTGAAGAAAAAACCGATAATGATGATGAGACTAAATCTGCGCTCACAAATGGCCCGACCAAGAGTCCGGATGAAATGGAAAAAGAAGATAAATCAGTGGAAAAAGAGCAGGAAGAGGAAACGACGACGCTAACTAAGCAACTGTAAGATATATATCATTTAAATTAACTTGCATTTGGAAGCCAAAAAAAAAAAAAATGTGTTTAGAATTGAAATGACGTTAGTTTTGGAAATTTGTAACTCAAAAATACTAACATTAACAAGTAAAAAAGCAGCTATGTTCGGCCGTGCCGAACTTTTTATACCATCCGAAAGGAACTTGATAAATTAAAAAAAAATTCCGCTGAAAAATACCGCTCAAATGAAAACCTTTATATGGAAGCTATACAAAGACGTGGTGTTCCATGAGTAACTTTTTGTCAAAATACCGTCCGTCCGTCTTAGACTGTAGTATCCATTACGAAATTTAAATGCGAAATTTGAAACATTTCCGGTGAATAATGTCGCTAAAATCATGAAAATACCAAATATCGGGAGGTATCGTTATATGGGGGCTATACGAAGACGTGGACCTTCACAGACAATTTTCTGTCATATGCTGTAATATCCATTACGAACTTCAAATAACAAATTTGAAACAATTTCGGTGAATAGTGTCGCTAAAATCATCAGAACACCGAACATCGGGAGGTGCCGTTATATGGGGGCTATACGAAAACGTGAATCTACATATCCCATTTTCAATACCAAAAGTCCTGCAGACATAATATACATTTGAGTAAAATTTTATCAACCTCCTTCATTTCGTTCGGAAGCTAGAGTGATTTTCACAGACGGACGGATATGGCTAAATTGGCATTGAATTTTATGATGATCAAGACTATACAGGGTGAGATAAAAAACTGCAACAAAGTCAAATGCCATAATTTTTACATTTTTTTTTTAATTTTATGGAATGAGAGCAAATAATGTCGGAAATACCATCAAATTTTAGAATAAGTTTAGAGTTGCTCAAATTTGTAACCTTTGGCACAAATTATGGCCTTCAAACGGCCAATGAAACCGTCACACGCTGCCCGAATGTTGTTCTGCGGTATTTTGGCCCATTCCTTGCGCAGCGCTTGCTTAAGGTGATCGACACTTTGGTATTTTTTTGGTGCCAACCTTGCCTTCCAAAATACTCCAGACACAATAGTCCAACGGATTGGTATCCGGAGATTTTGGTGGCCAGTAGGCGTTGGAAATGAAGCGAGGAACCTCATTTTGTAACCATTTTTGGGTGGCGCGAGTTGAGTGCGATGGTGCTAAGACCCTTTTGGAATGTCCAAGGTCTGCGGCCAAAATGTTTGCGTGGCCAAGGCTTTAATACGGTGATCGACACTTTGGTATTTTTTTAGTGCCAACCTTGCTTTGCAAAATACTCCAGACACAACAGTCCAACGGATTGGTATCCGGAGATTTCGGTTTGTAAAATGGAGAAGGAAACGAGATAGACCCATAGTTCCTTTTGGTGATCAGCATAGAATCACATTTTCGAGTCGATTCATGCATATCCGTCCGTCCGTCTGTCCATGTATTTTTGTAAACAAAATGCGGGTCGCATTTATTGCTCGATTGAGTTGAAATTTTCTAAATAACATTTGTTTGGCTCAAGGACAAACCCTATTGAAATTGGTGAAAATCGGTCCAAATTTAGATATTGCTCCCTCATATATCTTCATCCGATTTTAGGTTTCATGGGCACGAAATGGCTAATATCAGTCCAAATGGTGTGAATTTTGCTACATCCAACCGGATTCAGCATACAAGCATGTGCTTCAAAATCGGTTCAGATATAGCTATAGCTCCCATATATATGTTTCATATAATTTTGGTGTTTAAGTCCCTTACATTCATTATATGCACTCCGCAAGACTAATATTTAGCACCAGATATCAGATACAGCCTAGCAATTTATATATCAAATTTTATCAAGTTCGGTTCAGATTTGGATATAGCTCCCATATATATGTATCTTCATCCGATTTTAGGTTTTTTGTGCACCAAATGACTAATATCAGTCCAAATGGTGTGAATTTTGGCACATCCGACTGAATTCAGTCTAGAAGTAAGTACACCAAATTTGATCAAAATCGTTTCAGACATAGCTATATGTTTATGTTTTATCCGATTTGGTTTTTAAGTCCTCCATATGCGTAATATGCATTCGACTACAATGATATTTGCTACCAGATATCTTATAGAGCTCGCAAATACCTTTGCCAAATTTTATCAAGATTGGTTCAGATTTGGATATAGCTGCCATATATATCTTCAACCGATTTCGGGTTAATTGTGCGTCGAATGGCCAATATCAGTGCTAATGACCTGAATTTTGGTACATCCGACCGAATTCAGTCAAGAAACAAGTACATTAAATTTGGAAAAAAATCAATTCAGATATTGCTATAGCTACCATATCAGAAGTACTTGTGCAAAATTTTATCCAGATCGACTAAGATTTGGATATAGCTCCCATATATATATATATCCTTAATCCTATTTCAAGTTTATTGTGCAAATAATGGTTAATATCAGTCAAAATGGGGTACATTTCGGGACGTACGTTTCCATTTTTTGGAACTCGGCGTCGATATATATTCTTTATACCCTCCACCATACTATGGGCGGTATATTAAAATTGTCACGTCTTCGTATAGCCCCCTCCCGAAATTCGGTATTTTGATGATTTTAGCGCCATTATTCACCGGAATTGTTTCAAATTACGTATTTACAGTTCGTAACAGTCTGTGACAGAAAAATGTCTATGCAGGTCCAGGTCTTCGTATAGGCTCCATATATCAGTACCTCCCTACATTCGATATTTTGACGAATTTAGGTATAATACCCACCGAAATTGTTTGCAATATCGTATTTGACGTTAGTAATGGATTCTATAGCCTGTGACAGAAATTTATCTATGCCGGTCTAGGTCTTCGCACAGCTCCGATATAATGGTACCTCCCTATATACGATATTTTGATGATTTTAGCTACATTATTCACCGTTTATTTCAAATTTCGAATTTGAATATGGTAATGGCTAATGGCAAACAATGTCTATGTAGGTCCACGTCGTATAGACCCAATATAACGGCAATATTCGATATTTTTAAAATTTAACAATTTTTTAAGGATTTTATTTTTTTAAATTTTCCAAATTCGTTCCAAATGGTGGAAAGTATTCAAAGTTTGGCCCGGCCGAACTTACTGCTTTTTAACTTGTTTAATATAATCATTCTCGAAGTCATAGCAATGTTACTTGGTATAAAAGATCAAAAATCCTCCGTCAAATTTAGTGAAATCGATTCAGAATTGTATATGGCTCTCATATATTACCTGTCTCTGAAACCAAACTATAACTGCTCTAAAGCCAAATGTTGATAGGTGGTATGATCTACTTCAGAAAAATTCTTTTGTTACGGGAGCTCTACTAAATATGCTGCATAGTGGTGTAGGGTATCATATAGTCGTCCCTGCCCGACTTTTACTTTTCCTTACTGGTTATTCCTGTTAAATATTGAAATTTTTGCCATCGAAAAAAAAATCCACTTTTTTTTTTGGCTTCCAATTTTTCATGATTTTTCCAATTAAAACACATAAATTTTCGTGTTATGTGCATAAGAGTATGAGTTTTTGATTTGATAATTTTTTATTATTTAAAAAGTTTTCAGTTATTAAAAAAACATTTATTTTTAATAATAAATAAAACAACTAATGCTTCTTTTCTTTTATTACTGTAGGAATAATGTAGAGGTTGTTGAACAGCCTACTACCGAAAAGCAGGATGGCAATAATACAAACCTAGAGGAGAATGAAGAAATCAAACAAAAAGAAACGGATGTGGAAGAGAAAAATAATATAATCAACAATGAAGATGATACAATAAATAAGCACAAATCAACAATAGAGGCAGATAACAATACTGATATTAAGGATAATAAAACTGCGGTAATTGCCGGCGAAACGGACAATACTGCTGCCACAGCAATTACGACAACAACAACAACAAGTACTCCTATTGCAGACGATACTACAACGTAAATGGGTGTCTATCGTGCATTTCAATGAGATTTGTAAACATAAACAAAATTTATGTAAATGATGATGTAAAGCAACATATATGCAAATGCGAAAAAAAAGAACAACCACACACACACAATATAAATGTCACTATGTCGCACATTTCAGAACATTTCGATACCATACATTCTTCTTTCCAAACACTTTTAGTTAGTTTTTTTTTAAAAAGATCCCCCTACTTTCCTCAAGACCAAAAACAAAAAACAAATGAAAACAATTTCCAAAATATGTATTTGTTGGTGATTCGATTTCAACCACCTTTACATAGGTAAGGCATTCATAATGTTGTTGATGAGACTTGAAATCAAAGATAAAATAGCTGAGGTTGAAGACATGTTTGTTTACCCCTACATGTTGTTGTCCTGTAGTTAGATTTGTGTTTAAAACAAAAAAATATATCTTTTCATGTATGATGAGAGTAAAATAAACGAAAAACAAACAAATGTACGTTTAGTTGTGTCCATATATTTATATATAGAAATATCCTTTTTCTTCCTAGCATTTCCAAAAAACCCTCCCTGCCTTCCCTTTCCAAAACACACACAATACATTTCACTGCAATTAGATGTGAAAGAAGATGCAACAACAATAATTAATGTAGCATTATACAACAATTAATTATAATCAATTAGGCTCGTAGTACATTAAACAAATTGTGTATTAATTGCCCGCCCAAAGCGTATTTAATTGAAAAACAAGAAACAAAGAAAAACAAATATATAAAAGTTAGGAAAGCGACTTTGTATCACATATGCTATACAACAATTACAACTACATACATATATAGAAATACCTAATTATATATTTTTTAAATTAATTTCAAAAAACACGTTAAGTCCTCGCTCGTATTGCCAATTGTGTTTAATTAGAAGATATGTTAGAGATTTTTTTCATTTTTAATTTAGATTTGTTTTCTTTTTTCTCCTTCCTTCCTTTTTGTGTACTCCATTTTCAATGATGATATTGTTGATTTTACTTTTAGTTTGTCATTAAAATAAGTGCATACTAGAAAAACAAACAAACAAAGAGAAAATTAAAAAAAAAAAAAAAAACACAAAACACAAAACAATATTATTATATTTTTTATAGTTATGTCTCTCATACGCTTAAAGCGAAGTATGTGCTGCTCACTTAAAATTACAAATCACTAAATTTAAATTATAAATTGTTTAAATAAAAAAATGAAAAAAAAAGAAACATCAAAATGCTGTATAAAAACAAAAACGAAGTTAATACCAAAATTTTTAATTTTTTTTTATTTAAATGAAAAAATGTAGCTTTTTTATATATATACACTTAAGTCTATTTTTATGCACACAAACGAATTTTTGTGACCTCATGGCCGCATAATGTTTCTGAATTTTGAATTAAGTTTTGTTTTTTCTTTTTGTTTGATGAAATAAAGGCTGATTCTTGCAATAATGGGAATTTAATTTATGACTTAAGTACAGACGAAAATGGAACGGAACATGTCATTTGGCCAAAAGAAGGTGCACATTTTCATCTGACCTCTTTGGCTGGACAACGAATGTTTTCTCATCGGAGAAAACCAAATTCGACAGTTCACCACTTTCGACCAAGCGAAGCAATTCTTTACCTCTTTTGAGTCTGTTTTCTTTCTGTTGCGGTGTAAGTTCTTGCACTTTTTGGAATTTCAATGGCTTTACCCCGAACACATTTTTCAATATTTGCCGAATGAAATATTGCGATGTGTTCAGCTCACGAGCCATTTCAGGGCCACTGCGACGCTGGTTTCGATCAAGTCGCTTCTTTACTTTTCGAACCATTTCTGCTGATGTTGCTGTTTTCTTCCGTCCACTTCCTTGACGTCGGTCTGCGCTACCAGTATCTGTATCACGGTAACGAGCGATGGTACGAGACATAATCGATTTATTCACATTTAAATGCTGGAGTGCTCTAACGAAAGCCACTTGTTTTCCAGCCAAATATAAAGAAATCACACTATCACGTTTGAATTCCATCACGAATAACTTTTTTTCTAAAAAAATCTTACCAAAATGCTTTTGTACGCTTGTAAACAATATAATGAGCTGTCACTGGAATAATTTTACCAGCTGTCGGACGAGTGGCTCTGAAATGAAAGCAGCCTGGAGTTGGTTTCAGAGTTTTCATCTCACCCTATATATGTGTTGGGGGCATTAGAAGTTTGATAGGGCCAAAAAGTTTGTAACCCTCGAAATATTGGTTCTAGACCCTCGATGTTATATATGGATCTTCCTATCTCGCCCAGCTAAGTCGATCTTGTCATGGGTGTCCGTCCGTCCGTCTATCCATGTTAATTTGTAATGACGCTACAGGTTGCAATTATGGCCCGAACCTCATGAAATTTTTTATAGAGTTGGAGTTAGCGTCGGAATAGAAGGCGAAAGTGGGCAATATCGGTCCACTCCTCTCCCACAAAGAGTCAAAATTTTGAATAATTACAACTCTTATAAAATGTGATGTAAGAGTCCGATTGTCTTCAAATTTCACATATCTCAATATTTTTATCAACCCAAGGTCTGATACCAAGATGGAATGCATCGGTCCACTCCGGCTGGTACCTCCCCCACAAAAGGTCGAAATTAAAAAAAAAAAAAACAAACAAAAAATATTTTCTGCACAGAAAGAGAAGCAATAATCTGATCTTGCCCAAACTTTGCAAATTCTAATATTTGTGTCAGTTCCAGGTCAGGTGCAAAAATGGATAATATCGGTCCAATGTAAGAATGCGATTATCTTAAACTCTCGCACATTCCAATATTTTTATAAACCCAAGATCTGGTGTTAATTTGGAATATATCAGTCCACTCCTTCTGGTACCTCCCCCACAAAAGGTCAAAATTTTTAATATCCATTAAGCTTATAAAACGCGAAATTACCATCCGATTCCATTTAGATCTGGCACATCTGAATATTTCCATCAACACAAGATGTGTCATAATGATGATAGAGATCGCAATACTGCTTCTGGTACCTCCCCCACAAAGGGTGAATGTTTTGAATAACCAAAACGATCAAAAAGGAGCAAAATTTTCAATACTTTTATCTTTACAACATGCTTTGGCTAAATTTGCTTTCAACCAGAAACCTGTTATGAATATGGAATTTATGAATTCGCACAAAATTCGATATAAAGATTTGATTTACTTGTATTTTTTCACTCCGATATATTTATCTGTATTACATGAAGTTGGAAATGGAATGCTTCGGTCGACTATATAAAAATTATCACATATCTCATATAAAGTGAAGGACGTTACCAATAAAGTTCAAACCTGGCACGTCGAAATATTTATATTATATGTGTTTAGGTCTGATACAAAATGAACAATATTGGCCCATTACTTCGGAACCTACTGCATAGAAGGTCAACAATTTGAATAATCATAACACAAGTCAAATTATGTTTTAATAATCGAACATTGGCTGAGGGTATAAATCTGTCGGCTAAACCGAGAGATACTTTTTAACTTGAATTAGGCTACTTGTTTTCCAAGATATCAGCGTTCTGTTGCTATTCCTTGGAGTTAGGGCTTAGTAGTTTTTACACAATTGTGGTTTGACTTTCCTGGAATTTCAAATTTCAATTATGTACCTGAAGAGCAAACTTAGTTGTCCGATGGGCTTATTGGCCGAGCTTACATAGACCTTGTTTAAAAGGGGAAAACCAGGTGAATTGTCAAACAAGAAAAAACACATATTCACAAATTGAAATGAAAATGCAATTAATTTAACGAAATTTGAGCCAAAACGTAAAATATTCTGTTTACTTTGGAAATCCTATAAAAATGGCCTATGTGTATATATTAAAAAAATGCTCGAATTAACTGTTTTCCATTTTAAATTTTAACACCAAACGTAAACAATTAACGAAAAGTAAAGAAAATTTAAGCAAATGAATCAGCATTTTTTTTTACTCTCACCAAGTGTTCGTCCAAAGGAAAAAAGGAAAATTAAAAAAAAACATAATCCAAAAAATAATAACTACAATTATTTAAAAAAAAAAAAAATAACACAAAGAAATGTAAAACTGAGAATTAGAGTTTGTTAAGCTAAAACAAAAAATACAAAAATAGAAAAAAAACAATATTTTTTAATTCAAAATTAAATTAAATTATTTCGTAATTGTAATCCCCGCCTTACTACTTAAATGTGTCTAAATTGAAACGAACTTCACAAGAAAATTTATAAATAATATCTACTTAACAAAATTAAAGACAATTGAAACAAAAACATACACACCCGAACATATAACTGAACATATAAATATGTATTTTGTTTAATATGGAGTAAATTAATAAAAAAAAACAAAACAATTCAAGTAAATGAAATTAAAAAGGGATGCAACTTTTTTTAAAGTACAAAATTACATTCACATTTAATAAAAACAACTAATTAATGTAACTCAAAATAAGTTGTAAGATCTTAGAAAAAAAACCCGTGAACAAGACTTTTTTAAAGAAGACAAAAAAACACCCCTATACCCCTCCAAAACAAAACAAACCTTAACTTCCATCCTTAGCCATTTTATGTTGCTTTAAGTGTCTTTTAAATGGACGAAAAAAAAAAACGATTGAAAATCAAAGTTTTAGAGATGTACTAAAAAAAAAATATTTTATTTCAAATCCATTACAACTGCAGGGTGAGATAAAAAAAAACAGCAAAAAATTTAAACAGCACAAAAAAACGTTGTTTTTATAAAAACTAATAAACAAACGTTGTTTTTATAAAAACAACAATAAAGGGATAAAGCCTGACCATTTTGTAACAAGAGCATAATTATTACATTTTTTTTAAATTTTATTGAATGAATGCAAATAATATCGGAAATTGCATCAAATTTTAGAATAAGTTTAGATTTGTTTGAATTTTGGCCTTCAAACGACGAATGAAACAGTCACACGCTGCCCGAATGTTGTTCTGCGGTATTTTGGTCCATTCCCGGCGAAGCGCTTGCTTGAGGTGATCGATAATTTGGTATTTTTTATTTGCCAACCTTGCTTTCCAAAATACTCCAGACACAATAGTTCAACGGATTGGTAATGAAGCGAGGAACTTCATTTTGTAACCATTCCTGGGTGGCGCCTGCTGAGTGCGATGGTGCTGAGTTGGTGCATGTTTAGTGAATGTCCAAGGTCTGCGGCCAAAATGTTTGCGTGGCCAAGGCTTTAATACACCCTCCTGAATATTTTCGCGATAATATTTGGCATTTATTCTGATGCCAGGGTCGTTTAATACGCGCAGAGAGAGACCATTGGCTGTTATGGTGGCCCACACCATCCACATGGCCGGCGCTTGAGTTCTGATGGCCAACCGAAGGTGCACATTTTCAGCTCACGTCTTTGGCAAGTAAACCCGATAATTTTGTTTGTATTCAAACTGCTGGACAACGAATGTTTTCTCATCGAAATCGGAGAAAACCAAATTCGGCAGTTCACCACTTTCGGCCATGCGAAGCAACTCTTTTCCTCTTTTGAGTCTATTTTCTTTCTGTTGCGGTGTAAGTTCTGGCACTTTTTGGAATTTCAATGGCTTTACCCCGAGCTCATTTTTCAATATTTGCCGAATGAAATATTACGATATGTTCAGCTTGCGAGTCATTTTTTGGCCACTGCGAAGCGGGTTTCGATCAAGTCGCTTCTTTACTTTTCGAACCATTTATACTGATGTTGCTGTCTTCTTCCGTCCACTTCCTTGACGTCGGGCATCGCTA